TCCAGTCCTGAAAAGCCCGCCAGACTTTGCGCCGGTCGGGGCCCCTATTAGAGCAGGTCCAACATTAACGACCACGGCGTCTTCGCGGCCCCACGCGGCCCCGAGCCCCCGGCAAGGGTTTGCAAGGCTCCAAAGCTGTAGGAGTCATGCGCGCGTGGCCGGCGCCGCTCTGACTTGTTCTGAGCATATGCGCTTGGTGCCCAGGACTGTTCCGCAAGTGCCTGCGAGGAAGTAAGAGCGGCCTCTGAGCTTTGGTCCTAGGAACTAGATCATGGAAGGATATGAAAGGAGTTGCGACAACGGACATCGACAAGGCCTTAACTTGAGATCATGTGGATGGCCATCCGCGGCTCGAAATCATCACCCCATCCTGCCCCTCCACCACGACGTCTACCACCATCACGACAAGCACGGATATGTACCACCACCCGGGTCAAATCATCTGCACCCCCACAGAAACAACTAAACCCCACGCCCCCAAATCACTTCTTCCCAAACTTGATTTGGGGCATCTGGTTGATAAACTGAGTAATTGCCGGCCCCGTCAATCAGATGTCAACAGAGTTGGAGGCTGCAAGTCCGTAGGCTCTTGGCTTCAGGCTTTGCACGCATCCAATTTCTGGCGTCGCTCGCCCAGGTACAACATAGGCCAGGGTTTAGGGGCTTCTTGGCACCCGCCTAGCTGACCGCAACATCACACTGCAGGGAATCAAAATTGGCATGTCGGCATCCATCTTCGCGAAGAATTCTTTGCCTTTACTCCAGTTTGTTAACTGGTTTCCTGCCCACCTCAGAAAGATACACCATTCGCAAACATCACACCCAAAACTCTGGCACTCCACCAAGCGCACTCTACAGTCGGGATAGGGCAATAGGGTATAGGGTATAGGGTTTAGGGTTTAGGGTTTAGGGTTTAGGGTTTAGGAATTAGGGACCCGAAATCTGGCCTGCTTGACAGCTTGCAGAGCCGCCTCGCCCCGTGCAGGACATGAATGCCGAAGCACTGGACAGCAGCTGAAGACCACGCAAGACAAACTGAGCCAGGCCTTATTGGCTCGCTCTGCCCGCATCCATAGCCTCCCAGCACACAATTGGCAAGTGAAACAACCATTACCTTTGAAAACTAAACCTCTTCACACTGCGTTTGCGCCTTCTCGAGTCTCGCCTGCGCCAGCTGAACCTCGCGAAGAGTGGTAGAGTGGTTGATGTGGAACAATTGCGTCAGTGACATAGCAAGAATACCTATAATACCACCCCGCCTAATTAGTTTCAAACTATCAGATATCTCCACATGCGGGTTCAGTGCCGCAACTCAGTGCAAAAACACCTCTTGTATCAGCTCATCTGTGTGCTCGCCGCTGTGTCTTACGCCTCGTCACAGCACCAAAGCAAAGGCTGTTTGCGCCATGTAGAAGAAGGATCCCTAATTACATGTCCAACTCAGCATGATGTTGTCACAAGCCTGTTTTTTCTCAGACAAACTTGCAGATGCTACCGCTGCGTGAGAAAGCAAATCAGAGGGTTGGTCTGCTTCCGCTGTCAAGCCAGAACGCCATTCCCTGTCGCATACTTCTTAGGCAACCGCCTGGGAAGGGGTGGTTTTTGCAGGTGGTCCTGTGTGCGGCCGTCTACTTGCCAGGGACAGCTTGAGCGGGGGTGGATTTCGCAATCCCTGTTGTATACATCCAGGAGTCAACCACAAAGCAATTGCCCTGGCACGCCAACCATGCCCACAACAAGTCACAATGTCACCCTTCAACAGACAGAAACACCCAGGGGTCTGGGGCAGTGGCGCTTCCCCATGGCAGTCGTGCCCCTTCAACTCGAGCAGAAATGGCCAACAAGTCCAATCAAGTTTGCTGCGGCATCTTGGGGAATGTAGAAGTGAGGTTGGGCATTTTATGTGGGCGGACGTCTAAGCTTCCAAAATGTGCCCTTTGCGTTCACTCTCGCGTCACTGCATGACAGATGTCTCGCTGCTTGTGAGTGCTTTGGTAAGTGAGATGTCGTCGGGTGGTCGGTGCACCATGGCGATCTTCACACAAACTTCTTGTCGCTAAACGTGCAAGGATAGAAAAACATGTTGGGGAAGATGTTGAGAGGAAGGTTCTGTCAGTTGAACATTATCCACGAATTTGGAACTCTGTGCCGCCTGGCAAGGCTCATGCGTTGTCAGCCACCCTGGTTTCGAATCCATCGAAACCATTGAAAGCATAAAACTTGAGTGGTCAATGGAATTGCAAGTTGAAACCAACGGCTTAGAAGCTGCTTTTTGCTCCCGCAGCAGCTCCGGACTGTATTCCAGGTCGAGAGTGACGATGGCGGAGCCTGTGAAATGTTACAGGAACACGGCTGAAGCAAGCCTTGCGGGCTATGTGTACCCAATAGACCAGCTAAGCCAAAAAACATATTGCGTACGTCGGTTTTTTAAGAACATTATTTCTTCATATAAAAAGGAAAACCGAAGTGACTTTGAGAGTTAGCCTGGCATGTGAAAGGCATTTTTGTCATGCTAACTTTGAAGTTAACACGCCATGGAAACTCAAAGCCCGGTTGGCTTCATAGATCGAATTTGCCTTCGAAGCCAAAGTCGCAAAACCGAAGCTGCTACTGAAACTGCTTCGAAACTGCTTCAGATTTGCAAAAAACAAAACTCTGATTTGGTGGATGTGTTCTTTCTAGGTGTTTTCTGCTGATGTGGTGCACTTATGTGTTTCTGATAAGCAAGACCGAAACCAAGAGCAGCTTGATGGTAGTTTGCGACTTCTCTCCCCACAAACAGAAGCAAACCATGAAGCAGCTGGAAGCAGACTAGCAAAGCGCCGAGAGCAGTTTAGAGATATTTCCACCAAACCTCCTCTCACAATTTGACGGGCAAACTTCCTTCAACGGCAGATGTTCACCTTGCAAATGACTCTGTCAACGAGCAGAGTAACTACTTTCCACGCCCTCGTGTGTACTTCGAAGTGCAAAGGTAAAACGAGCAAAGGCAAACTTGCCGTTTTGACTTTTCGAAATTGTCTGGCATAGCTGGTCTGCAAGCTACTAGAATCCATCGAGGCAAGCAGATGACAAGCAAGGCGCCATTCATTGAAGTGAAAAAAACTCCACACCTCGGCAAGTCGGAGCTCGCTGGCCGCGCATTTCAGGCATGCCAGTGTGGCCAGCAAGGGCACCTGGCACAAACACACAGCTCTCTTCAGATCGGAGCAAACTGTAGCTAAGAGTTGCGTGCGCCAGACCAGACCGCAAACAGCTGGTACACATTCCGTCCCTCCGTTTCCAACAGAAGTGCAGCTGCCACTCAGTTTTTCAACCCGGCCTTTGAGCAGGGCGGTGCGTGCGCTTCTGCTGACCCAAGTACTGCAGCACCTTACACAGCTTGATTGCCAACATTCTCTCAGTGCTGTTATAGTGCTGTTCTTGTGCAGTGGCAGCCTGGGATCTCACGCATGAAGGGTCACTGGGTATAAGGCCGCCACGCAAAGCCGGCCACAGCCCGGAGCCTATCAGAAGAGACTGGGCAAAGAGGTGGAAGGAGACAAGTGGACAAAGCGGGACAAGTGAGCGAAGTAGGGTTCTGAAACCTTTTGTGGACTCTGGTAGAGTTTGGGTTAGAATTAAGGGTTGGTGCGCTTTGTGGCTGTGTGGACATGGGAGGGGGGGACCATCCAGAGCATCGCCCCGTCTGAGAGCAAAGCACTCAGCCTTGTGTCAGTCTTTCAGCCCGCTCCACCTCCCGCCCGCTTTAAAATTCCGGAAAGAGCTTGGGCCCCTAAAACTCCATAACCCTAAAGCCCTAAAACCCCAAAACCCCAAAACCCCGAAACCCCAAAACCCTAAAAACCCCATAAAAACATGTTCTGTATGCAGCGAAAGGAGTAGCCCGCACCTCTGTGAACTTTGTGGCACTACAAGAGCCAACCAACTTTGACCAAAGGGGTCTCCAAATTTTAGGGTTTAGGGTTTAGGGTTTAGGGTTAGATCAGACCTCTTCATGGGACAATCCATATTTTTCATGCCCGTGCGCACCCAAATGGTGGGGAGAGATCCCCACTACCCTTTAGCTTCTGGGCTGAACCTTTGACTAAGGTTTCACTATTGGGGCGACTAGAGATGACTTGGGTGTTTACCGCGGATTCCACTCTTGAACCTATGTCGCATTCGTCTTTCTGGATTTCAGTCGGTGTTGCTTGTAAGCATCGTTAGTAGCATCGGTACCGGCAGGCATTGGAAAACCGCATGTTCTTTGGAAACAAAGGGTTTCCTCTTCTGAAAGAATCTTGGTGGCATTTTTTGGGAAGCCCTGCGTGTTGTCGATGTGTTGAATTATGCCGGCATCAGCCCTTTATGACGAATGTTCTCGCAACCGTATACATCCTAACATGGACGTTGCGATCTGGGCCAGTACGGATGCTCAAGTGTGAAAGGGTAAACTCAGACCCCCGGCTTCCTCGTGCTGCCCCAAAGGTATGGGGTTGGGGAAATGATGGCTTTGCCTGTGGTTTGGGGGCTTAGAGCGTCGTCTCTAAATTGCTTAGGGTTGAGGGTACAGTTCGTAGGCTCGGCTCGAGGGGTTCAGAATGTCACACGGGTCTTGGGATAGTGCTTCTTAAGTCGGTGGGAGGCCTGTATGAAGCCGTTCTCCCTACTTGCACCCCCGAACCCAAGGCAAAACCTAAGCACTCATCGAGTAGCTCAATAGCTGTTTTTCTGGACAAGCAGTGTTCTGTACAAGTGGAGAGGGTCGCCTGCTTCACATTCTTTCCATGATCAGGTACCTTCAAGAGGCTTTCTCAGGCCTTCCGCCAGCAAGGCCGTGCCAACAAAAAGCATAGAGGGCAGCCAAGCATATGGGTATTTCCCAAAATAGGGGTACTTCTGTTATACCCCAAATAGAAGATCATCCCCTTATAACCCCCTTAAAGGGGCCGAGGTGTTTGCCCTAAAGGGGCCCCAAAAAAGAGTACCCCTGGAAACCCCCATATTGCTTTCATGCTTCACATGTCGCGGTCAAACATGGCTGTGCGACAGCCAAGCTGTCTGAAACCAAGGTGAAGGCTCTTTGCAATGTCCACCAAGACAGAGTTCGGGTTGTAACCGAGTTCCCTCAGCCCACGGACCTGATGGCTGCTAAACTTGTACATCTTGCGAAGTGACAGCATCGTCGGAGGCAGCCGTCTCCGTGCGTCGTTCACGTCAGGATCCGCTTTGAAAGCAACGCGAGCAGCTGTCTCAGACGCAGCTTGAGTGGCAGGACTCCGGACGCCTTCTGAGAAGCCTTCAAACTCTCGGTCATGGAAGCCTGGCACGACCAGTGTAACAACGCAGCCATCAGAAGTCCATCGGTGACGGAAACCAAAATTGCCTCTCCGTTGGCAGTTGTATCGGTCAAGAAAGATTCTGAGCGCTTGCTTTGGCGTCATCTGTTCCCACTCTTCGTCCTTAATGCCGATTCGGGTCGTGAGTGACGGTGCCAGGGACTCGAAGTAGCCATTCCTGATGCGTTCCAGCAATTCTGTTGCAGTTAGGTCCTGGTCGCGCGCAGCCCCAGGGGGCTGCTGCTGCTGCTCCTCGTGCCCAACGTCCTCACGCTTCACATCATCATGTCCGAACCACAGTTTTCCACCGGGCATTTCACTCAACATCTTATTCAAGGCTTAGATTAGAGGGTTTGCCGTGGATCCGCCACTCCAAACATCTCCTTCAGGGCGCAAGGGGGTTTGCCACTCCCAATGTGGACTCCAAAGCAAGGAGCCAATCGTGATGTGAGCCTTCCTTCCTTCCTTGCTTCTTCCTTCCTTCCTGTCAGCCCGCCTGCCTGCCTGCCTCCCTCCTCCCTCCCTCCCTCCCAGAAACCGGAAAGCCAGCCAGGAAGCCAAGCAGCCGGAAAGCCACGAAGCCAAGAAGCCGTGCGGAGCTGCCTTACTGGGCCGTACTGTCAATCCCCCTGTAGCTTGTTGGCAACATGTTGCCACCCACTTCCCACCCAAGCCACCCCCAGGTCTCCTGTAGTCTACCCAGAAGAGGGGAGCCAACCGGAGACGTGGCAAGCAGCGTAGATTAAGTTGAATCGAGCAAGAATACAATGGCTGCAGCGGCTGAGTTGCTTAGTTTGACAACACGAGCCGCCTCCTCCGCGACTTCAGCTTCCAGCAGCGGATCAGTGAGATCGTCAGGGACCTCCACTTCGGCTTCCTCGCTGGCTTCCTCTTTGGCGGAGTCCACTGCCTGCAGGGAGCACAAGAAAGCTAGAAGGATTGACTGTTCAGAGCCCATGGAAAATTGCAACAAACGCAAATTACTCCGTATTCAAGGCGCCGTTTAGGGTGAAGTCGGGCGAGGTTGCTGTAGTCTACCCAGAAGAAGGGAGCCAATCGGAGACGTGGCAAGCAGTGTAGTTTGAGTTGAATACAGCAAGAATACAGTAGCTTCAGCGGCTCAGTTGTGGGGCATGTTGGCCGGATCCGGGTTTCAAGTTCGGCTCAACAGGGGCATGTTGGCCGGATCCGGGTTTCATAACAGGGGCATGTTGCCTGGATCCGGATTTCATGTTGGCCGGATCCGGGTTTCAAGTTTCGCTCAACAGTATTGTGACCAGCGGACAGCCCTAAACCCTAAACAAACGCAATAGAGCGCAACACGCTTTTGTCTTGAGCCAAAGAAAGTAGCGAAATCATGTCATACAAGCTGGCAAGTTTAAACACCCCCCGTGTATCTTAGAGCAACGGGCGTCCAAAACACGACTTGTTTGATGCTACTTCAGATTGAAATAAAACCACGCACATGGACACAACACGACGGTGCCGAACAACCCCGGCAGGGAGTTTGAGAACACAAGGCGCCTCCTCCGCGACTTCAGCTTCCAGCAGCGGATCAGTGAGATCGTCAGGGACCTCCACTTCGGCTTCCTCGCTGGCTTCCTCTTTGGCGGAGTCCGCTGCCTGCAGGGAGCACAAGAAAGCTAGAAGGATTGACTGTTCAGAGCCCTTGGAAAATTGCAACAAACGCAGATTCCGAAATGGAGTCTTGTTGGTACTACTCCGTATTCAAGGCGCCGTTTAGGGTGAAGTCGGGCGAGGTTGCTGTAGTCTACCCAGAAGAAGGGAGCCAACCCGAGACATGGCAAGCAGTCTGGTTTGAGTTGAATACAACAGCTGGAGCGGCTCAGTTGTGGGGCATGTTGGCCGGATCCAGGTCTCATGTTGGGCTCAACAGTGGCATGTTGGCCGGATCCGGGTTTCAAGTGGGGCTCAGCAGGGGCATGTTGGCCGGATCCGGCTTTCGAGTTGGGCTCGACAGGGGCACGTTGGCCGCACGCCGGTTTCAAGTTGGGCCCAACAGGGGCATGTTGGCCGGATGCGGGTTTCAAGCTGGGCTCAACATTGTTACCAGCGGACAGCCCTAAACAAATGCAATAGAGCACAACACGCTTTTTGTCTTGAGCCAATTAAAGTAGCTGACCTGTGCAAATTGAAACACGCCCCGCGCATCTTAGAGCAAAGCAGATGCGTCCGAAACAAGACTTGTTTGATGCTACTTCAGATTGAAACAAAACAATGCATAGACACAAAGCACGACGCCGCCGAACATCCCCGGCAGGGAGTTTGAGAACACGAGCCGCCTCCTCCGCGACTTCAGCTTCCAGCTGCGGATCTGTGAGATCGTCCTGGACCTTCACTTCCGCTTCCGCGCTGGCTTCCTCTTTGGTGGAGTCCACTGCCTGCAGGGAAACACAAGGAGCGCCAGAAGGATTGATGGTTCAGAGCCGAGCCAGAACCTGAACCCGGAAACATTACACTAATTCCAAGTTCTGAAATGGAGGCTTGGTGGCACAAATTCCGTCTTCGGGGAAGAAATAAGGGTGAGGTGGCGCGCCGTTGCTGTAGTCTACCCTGAAGAGGGAAGCCAACTGGAGATATGGCAAGCAATTTAGCAAGAATGCAGTAGCTTGAGCACAACAAATCTTGGCGAGCGCTGTTTTGCACACTTGTCCTGACCAAGCCGGGGTCGCTTGGGCTCTTTGCCGGATGGAGCGCAGACGTCGTCGATCTTGCGCGTCCGTTCGGGTGGAGCGAGGTATTCCGCCTCCTCCTCCGCAAAGGGATGCGTGCGGCAAAGGGCGGATCATCAACAACATAACAAGCGAAACACGGCACGACATGAAACGGTCCTCCTCCTTCAACTCCGCCTTCACCTCCTTCTTGACCTCCTCATCCGGCCAGGAATGTCACGGTTCCGGCTCGGGCACCCCCACGTGCTGGATGAGCTCCGCGAGGGAGAAGTTTGGCATGCCAACGCTGGCTCGAGCACATGCACAACGCTTTGCGTCCGAAAGGCAGAGGTGTTTTTGAATCGGAAAGAGCTTTGGGCCGTGCCAATCGCATGAATGAAGCTGAACATGCTGGTCGCTCTCTGACACTTGGCAGCCGCGATACAGTCTGGCGCGTTGGCAAGGCATGCAACATGAGCAACGTCGATCAAGCTGAACACCACGCAACAACATCTTGTCACATTCAACAGTTCACAATACGTAAGCAATCCATTGAAGCCTCGCCATGTGCTGCTTGCAAGCCGTGGTGTGCCACGTGACAGGCCTCCCGAAGCTTCTCATTGATCGACAGCAGTTTGGGCTGAGAATTCTGTACGTCCCAGGCACTACTATCAACATCTTGTCAAGAAACCAATCATCTGGGAAAACGGGTGTCTGCGAGCATCCTGCCTGCTCGAGTTTTGCGGAAGGCGCTCTGCCTGACAGGACCACTTGTGAGTTGATCAAACTCCATGATTCAGCTCGGTAACACGCGAGTTTTCCAGGGGATGTGGCAGGGCTGCCTGTCAACGCAGAACTTTCCTTCCTCTGCTGCCGTTTCACCTCTCCACGTCTCTCGAGAAAGGGGGTTTGAGCCAGAGAAAAGTTGAATTTATCATCCGGCCCAAACCCAGGCTTTGGGCTCGAGAAAAGGGGGGTTGGACCAGAAGAGGTTGGACTTGTCGCCATCTGGCCCAAACAACGGTCTTCGACTCGAGAAAGGGGGCTTGGGCCAGAGAGAGGTTGAATTTATCATCCCGCCCAAGGCCAGGCTTTCGGCTCGAGAAAAGAGAAAAGGGGGGTTGGACCAGAAGAGGTTGGACTTGTCGCCATCTGGCCCAAACAACGGTTTTCGACTCGAGAAAGGGGGCTTGGGCCAGAGAGAGGTTGAATTTATCATCCGGCCCAAACCCAGGCTGTCGGCTCGAGAAAGGGGGATTGGACCCAGAAGAGGTTGGATTTGTCGCCATCTGGCCCAAACAACGGTCTTCGACTCGAGAAAGGGGGCTTGGGCCAGAGAGAGGTTGAATTTATCATCCGGCCCAAACCCAGGCTTTCGGCTCGAGAAAAGGGGGGTTGGACCAGAAGAGGTTGGACTTGTCGCCATCTGGCCCAAACAACGGTTTTCGACTCGAGAAAGGGGGCTTGGGCCAGAGAGAGGTTGAATTTATCATCCGGCCCAAACCCAGGCTTTCGGCTCGAGAAAAGGGGGGTTGGACCAGACGAGGTTGGATTTGTCGCCATCTGGCCCAAACAACGGTTTTCGACTCGAGAAATGGGGGCTTGGGCCAGAGAAAGGTTGAACTTATCATCCGGCCCAAACCCAGGCTTTCGCCTCGAAAAAGGGGGGTTGGACCAGAAGAGGTTGGATTTGTCGCCATCTGGCCCAAAAATCTTCGACTCGAGAAAGGCGCCTTGGGCCAAAGAGAAGTTGAATTTATCATCCGGCCCAAACCCAGGCTTTCGGCTGGAGAAAGTGTTCGACTCGAGAAAGTGGGTTTGGGCCAGAGATGTCCAGAGAGAGAGGCTGAATTAAATCGTCATCCGGCCCAATCTCCTTTTCACACAAACCGCCTGAAACAGCCCCAAAATCCAGCGCTTTTGGGCCACCTAGGTTCTGTCTCAGCACATGCCTCACCCCTTTTTGGGTTTGGGGTTTAGGGTGCTCTTGTGGGAACCTTGCATGTCTACCTTCTTTAAGTGGAAGGTGAGTCAGCGGGCAGCGACCTAAACCGTCTAAACCCCCCCCCCCCCAAATCCCTCAACGCTCTAACCTTGACATCAATTAGCGGATACTCCGCCTTGTGAGTTTTCGTGGTTTGCCCCCCCCCCCCCCTCTCCCCAGAACACGTTTCGGGAATCCCATGTGAGGGCTAGGCCAGGGACATTGTGGACAATTCAACCTACGGGGCAGCTCCTTGGACCCCCGGCGTCTGCGAACCATGTTGAGCGACACGTTTGAAACCGAAGGCTCGCCTTCCCACAGGACCTGGGGTCGGCCTACGTGACTCCCATGACTTCGTGACATCATGGACAAGTCGGTTTAGGGTTTAGGGTTTAGGGTTTAGGGGGTTTACGATATTAGGGGGGACTTTATTGGGGTTCTTATAATAACGTGATCCTACCATTTGGGGGCCTATTTTAGGGGTCCCCTATTTTCGCAAACTCCCACTTCTATCTCCGCTAACGTTTAACTCCAACTCCGAGAGACCCGAACATGCCCCCAACTCTCAAAAGCTGTTGGTGAGGGTTTATGGTTTAGGGTTTCGGGTTTAGGGTTTAGGGAAGTTTGTGTTCAATGCTGTTGTCTTCCATGACCTGTTGGGCCAGGCACTTTCCCTGACTTGCCCAGTCATGGCGCGAGAGTAACGAGATCCTGGCCTTAACCTGTTTGTTGGGCAAAAGCTCCCGGACCTGTCAATGGCAGACAAGACAAAGCCGGTGCTCACTTTCAAGCTTTCAAATGCCTCCGGCCGTTGCTGAAAGCCAGCGGCTTCGCCCCCAAGCCGCGCACGCCAAGTAGGTCTCGGCGCCTATCGGTCTGCAGCCTCGACCAGGTTGTTTACCTGAGCAGGGAATGCATCAGCTCAACTCCGAAGGCAGCAAGAAGCTGTGGCTTTCACCTTGCATGGCCTCTCTTCCTCAAGTCGCACCCTTTCCTGCATCCAGCGCCAGACGCCATACAAGTGTACTCCTCTACTGGCTTACTGCGATTTTGACAAGAGTCAGGCTTTCTCAAGCCCAGCCTTTTCCTGTGCTCAGGCTGAGGAACTGTACAGTTCGCCACGCACACACACACACACACACACACCCACTCACGCACCTACTCTCAGACTTAAAGACGCAGATCTCCACGAATGAGCGCCCACACAAACGCACCCACAGAGAGAGGCTCAAACTGGACACGGTCGGCACGGGCCTTCTCCCTGCCTGATTTTTACTGATCGAAATGCGGGACCGCAAAGAGGCTCTTACAAGCGTCGCCCAAATCGATAAGCAGAGTAGCGGGGTGGAGGGGGGGAGGGGGGGAGAGAGATGATCAAAAAGAAAATCTCCGTCTGGATCCCGCCCCACACCCCACCCCAAGCGCATTTCAGAGGGCTACGAGTAGCTCAGAGGATCATCTCGGACCATCAGTGCAGGGTTGTGGCCGAAATCAGGAGACACAGTCAAAAGAACAACAGAGGAAATCAGAAAATCAGGTGAAAAAAAGTAAAGCGCATATCAGATTTCAGAAAGGTGACCTCGATACCAGACGAGAAACATACTCGCCAAACGAAACACAACAAGTGACCAGGCAACCAGGGGACGAAATCAGACAGCGACCAACCCTCAACGTGAGACACCTTACATCACCCAAAAGTTTACAGCCGACGGTGCAGAAACCAGATTGGAGACATCAACCTTTCTGAGCCTGGGGGCCCGGCAGTGCAGAGCGCATAGAATGCAGATCCTGCTGGAGGGCGCAAAGCATTCGAGGTCCTCTCGGGTCTGCAGGTGGGTATCTCCCGCAGCTCCCCTCCCAGCCTCCACATGGGGAGTTCGCTCCATATCACCTGCCCACGCCAGGACAGACGAGAGGAGGAGATGCTCTGAGTATCCCACGATCTGCCTGAGGGCATCTTACAGCAACTGGACCTCTTAAAGGTGCCCAAAGGTCCCCCCGGCATATCCGGTCCGTGGCCACCCCGTAGCCTTTTTGTTCATCTGTTATGCTTCCCCCTTTTCGCCCCACCTTCCCCCCCATCTTCCATTGAAGGAACGGTCTCCACATGGCCACCCCACTCTGAGGGTGGAGAGCCGGACTTTTGGCTTTAAGGGTTTAAAGGGCCCCTGTTTGTTTCATAGGGTAAAAAATCATATGATGCGGGTTGCGGAGGGTCTCACAGACAGCAAGGCCAGAATCATCTCCGGAGCATTGGCCCGCCCGAAAAAACTCAGAACCTGCGGAAATCCTGCGGCTATGGCTGCCTTCTCGAAGAGCTTCGCCCCAAGCTCCAAGATGTCCAGCCTTCAGGCATGGAGTTTGAGCACATTGCTGATGATCTCATGGGGGCGCGGGAGTCTTTGGGGACTGCGGCAGCCAAGGAGATTCGAATCGCCCGAATTGAAAGAAGCGACTGACGAGCCGGCATCAAAACTTGAGTTTCAGTTCCTCGGCCTGAGCAGAAAGGCATCGCCTCCCCTGCAGCGTTTGAGAACAATAGCGAGGTGTGTCGATGTTCTGGTTCCACAAGCTACCCAACAGCAAAAGCACACAACCGCCTGGGTTTTTTTGGGGGCAAGGTCAGGTAGAATGTGTGGCGCAGCGCAGTGCTGTCATTCTTTCAACGAGACAAAGAAGAATCTCAACCATCGACGATGATGCGATTGGGGCCCTAGGAGATCCTACTTTCAAGCCCTACAAAGATGTGGAGAAGACCAAGAGAACACCTAAACAAATATGGGAAGGACATGTCTCAGAGGTTTGCCCCCCTGTTTCGGAGCCTCCAGCTGCGGGGCCGCAGGCAGGGGCGGTGCCTGGCGAAAGGATGCGGAATTTTCCCAAAGCATTTGTAGGGTGTTTTTTGCCGCCACCTGTCTCGCTGGCCTCTCGGACACACTGCAGGGAACAAACTGTGTTGTCGCATTGATGATGCGATGTGATGTTTGGCACGGTACAACTCGACAGCAAAGTCTTGGACGTGCTCCGTCCCTACTCCCTGAGGGAGAACGCGGACCTCCAACCCTGAACCCTAACGTGGTTCTAATGTAAGTTCAGCGGCTAGGGCTGAGAGAGTGTGGGTGAAGGTTGCCATCGGCCTGAGCAACTCAAAGCTCTGCTCCAAAACCCGTTCAAATCCTTAAATCCTTAAATTGACAAGCCCCTATAGACGCCAGAGACTATCGCGAGCAAGCGCGCCGGTCTTCCTACACACATACACACAGAGTCATCGCCTGCCAGATCCAGCTGCTCCGAGAGCACGGTTAGCAGCTGAAAAGTCTGCGGGAATGTCCTGGGATGCAGTGGCCAAGACAGGCTTTCAGGAATTTGAAGGGCATCGCTCCAGCACATGTCATGAGCCAAGTCACGAGCACATGTCCAGCAGGCAATGGACTTTGAAGCCATGGCAAGCTACGGGTGTGACCTATTGAATCCGGGAGTCTACGGTCTGCACATCCCTCCTAGCGCGCTGGGCACACATGTGGAAGCAAAGGACAACCCCCAGCAGGTCTGATCCTAGCTTCTGTAAAGCTTCAAGACGACGCCTTTGCAATAAACTTAAGGCGGCACGGCCAAGCTGAGAAGAGAAAAGAGCCAGCAGCATTCAAAGACGGCCCTGCAAGCCCATGCAGGTACATTCCATGTTCGAACTTCCGGCAAAGGGGCATTGCGTGGACCGCACATCTTCGGTTGACTCGCTGAGAGCACACCATCGTCCACGGTACTTGCGAACCAGCTTACTAATGTACCCAAGAACGCGTAAGCGTCAGAGTTCAGCTGAACATGCGCCGCACTTATCCGGGGAAAAAAGGGCATGCAGTCCGACGTGCCTTCGGCACGGAGCGTGCCAAGTGGCATGCTGAATTCTAGCTCAAAGCCGCTGCAGTCAGAGAAAGCTTCGCGTGCCCGCGAGCAGAGCCGTCTTTGTTGAATTCTGACCATGGTAGGACATAGAAGAGCACCACACAGAAGCGTTGAAAAGTCGCCAAAAGCCTCAGCTTCCGACCCGCACTTCGATGCGGATTCCCCCAGAAGGCGCAAAGTCGTCAGAGACCTTGAAGGCATAGTCGGTGAAGAGCCAGTTTCGGCGGAGTGCTCCTTGGTAGCCCCGTAGCCATATGGGGGTTTTGAGAAATTGGGGGCGAATCCTACTACTTGGGGGTCTGCACTAGGGGTCCCTTGCTATCGGAAACCCCCATAACAGTAAGGGTAGGGGTTTACTTCAGAAGGGAACCGAGCAACAAAGAAGGGCAAAAGTTACCACTGGGGTACCAAAGCTCGGCAAACCCCGTCTACACCTTCAGCTGTAATCGGGTTTTCCAGCAGGTCCACCAAGCACCGGCAGCTTCCCCTGAAAGGTGCCTTCTGATACAATGCGCATGGCAACACCTGGGCCATGGCCTCTGCCCCTAGATCCCCGATTCGGTTCCCAACGAGTCGCACTTCATCGGGTGGCCCACACTGCAGGGCTGAGGCAAGCGCTGCGGCACCGGCATCTCCCAGGTTGCAATGCGAGAAATCCAGCCCGATCATGGTGGGCATTCGGGGCGCCAGCGCCTGCACGAGCACCTGGGCACCTGTGTCACCCAGCGTCCGGCAGTTGATCTGGATCCTGGACATCTTGCCCAAGGTCTCCAAGCCTCTGGCCAGCGCGGCACTGGCACCGCAAAGGTCGCAGCAGTCATGAATCGCCAAGACCTCCAAGTTGGGGAAGTGCGGCAGGGCTTGGGCGAGCATCTCCACCTCCTGCTTCGGCAACTTGAAGGCTTCCAAGACCCTGCGGTTCGCGGCACCTTGGCAGATCAAGTTGGCACGTACGCTGCAGAAGGCGTTCCTGAAAAAGGACCAAGCAAGAGACAAACATCAAACATAGGTAGACTATGTTATCGGTAGATGATTGTGTGTATGTATATAGATTATAGATGTACAGAGGAGTTGCATGAAGATCTAGGATGTCGCTCCTGGCACACACTGATCCCAGGCACTCTCCAAGAAGACCTTCTCCTGCAACTGCATGACGAGCTGCGCGTCCGAGCGGTGCGTGAACTTGAGCGGCAAACCTGCCGCCAGCTGGCCATCTTCATCGTCTCCTCCTCGAGACACCCTGGCCTGGAAAATGGCGGGGGGCATCGGTGAGAAGCCAACAACCTAGTTCATGGTTGGGATAGTAAAAAAACAAATCTGACTTTACATTCCTTATTAAGGTTAAGTACCCTTAAAAAATGTAAAATGTTACCCACTATGACAAAGCAACATGGCGCCGGGTGCTCATCCACTGCGACTCAGCGATGCACCATCCTCGCTGACAGTAGGGCGTGCTGTTCACGGTTAGATCCTTGAGCGGCCGTCGTTCGACCTGGTCCGTCTTCTCACAATACACTCTGATGGAGGTTGGCTGCTTCCGCTTCCAGTCTGCGGGCGTGAGCTCCTCGATGCGAAACACGCGCGTCAGGTACGCATGCGCGTACAGCAGATGCATTGAGTCCATGGCTCGCTGGAAGAACTCATCCTCCAGAAGCTTGCGCTTGTACTGCGGCAAGCAGACGAAATCGATGAAGACCCAATACTCGACCACGTCGTCGTGGAAGAGCTCCCTGTGTCTCCTCCCCAAACCACGGTAACGGTCCTGCGCAACTTCTTGCTCGAAGGCTTCGATGGCATCGACCAGGCGATGGAGCTGCCAACCCCAGGGGTCGGCGTGCTCGCAAGACTCCCAGGAGTGGGACAGCGACACGATGTGTATAAATCTCCGCTCGCCCTGTGAACCAACTCGGGAGAAGTGATGGAAACCGCTTGGCCAGTACATTTCCGGATTCAGGTGCTTCAGGTCCTGGAGACTCACCAAAGCATCTTTGACATCCTCACGACGCGGCCACAACATCCCTTCTGCACAGAGCTTCTTCAGGTGCTCGAACTTCACCAAGCGAATATTGGCATAGATCAGGAAGTCGAGCAAGTGCCTGGGGTTGTCGAGGTCGTACGTCTCCACCGCCAATGGCATGCCACGCTTTTCATACCATGGCACCTGTTCGTCAGGCGAGGACATGGGGCACACGCCGGGAATCCCCCGCTTCTACGCACGCTGCTTGACAAAATGCATCGCGAAGCACGAAAGCGGGATGCTTGTTGAACTGCAGTGGACATGGCATCAACTGAGCAGCTGGTTGAGGTAGTTTGAGTCAGACCCACTGCGCATCATATATAGACATACATAGACATATATATATATATGTCTATCTATCTATCTATCCATCTATCCTATCCCCACCTGTCCCGCAAAATCTGTGCATTTTTCTAGGCAACGCGGTGCTAACAACATTGCGGCTTACAGTCTGAGGGCAGAGGTGCACGTCACGAAAAGGCCCTAGTGATTCTTGGAGCTTTCGGAGGGTGGAATATTTTTGCGGTCGTGCTTGCGGTGTGTCTCTTTTTGCTTTTTGATTTTACTGGATTTTTCCAAGGAAAACCACCATTTCCTGTATACTACTTGTACTATACCATCATAGGATTTGGTTCATTTCCTTGTTCTTCCTAGGAAAACCTCCATGCCCTCTGCATTTTCATCGGACTCATACTACTTTTCAGAATTCTTGTAAAATTTTGCTCGCAAGCTTGCACGGTAGGGGGGTTGGGGTATGCTTTGAAACAATTCAATTCATACGCTTTGAAGCAAGCTCGCGCGTCTTTAAACGCCGGGGGGTTGGTGGGGGGGGGGGGGGGTGCTTGCTTGCATGATGGGTTTCAACAAAATTCTTACGCTGGGGGTCATATGCTTTGAATGAAGCTTGCACGGCTTGAAAACGCGGCGTTCAACGGCTCGTCTGGCCCACGTGGACGAATGAACAAGAACCATAAATACCGTATAGGAGGTAACTGATCCCAGGATTCTCTGGTTGTCTGCCGGCCGGATTGGCTGCTTGAGCTATGGCATTTTCCCATTGCTTTCACGTTCAGCCAAGCTTGTAGACCGTAACTTTGGCGGTCTACCTAGACGGGATCTGCGTTGAAAGCTTCTGTCTTTCCAGGCTTTGACCTTACACGCGAAATCTTTCTGCTGATTTCACGCGCCTAACTCCATCTTAACCAGATTCAACTAAGCTCCCTGCAGAAAAATGGCGTGGACACGCTCCTGATCTTGCTCGCGCAGCTTCAGGCACTCGTCCTGAACATGCAACGCTTCTAAACTTCGTAACCTGCACAGTAGCGGGCAAGCGTCTATGCCACCCCGTCTCGGGAAGAGCAGAATCCGAAAGCAACCCACCAAGTTCCACGAAAACGACACGTCTCTTGATCCGCAAGCAGGGCATGGTTGTTGCCATGCACTGTTCTTGCTCAAGCTATCGGTACTGGATGCACACCCCTGCCTCCTGCTCCGCCCACCCCAGCTGCTTCTTTGTCTGCTATCAGATCTGCCGATCAGGACACAAAACACGCACCTAGAGCAGGGACAAGGGACCAATAAACCGCCATCTGGATGCTGGGAAAGCCCTGCTGTTGGCTCGCAGGCATCCTCACGCCTACATGTCTTGTGAATTCCTTGCACACTCAGTGATCCCAGTGAGCCAGACGGCGCCAAAATGAGCTCGTTTTCTCGCCATCGTTACCTGACGAGTGCTGGACATGATGCAGTGGTGTCGGCTCGGTCAGGGCAGCCAAGGCAATAATTTGAGTCAGTGCACATCATGCAGGTCTGTACGCCCTGTCAGAGGAAGGTCCAAGAACCGAGGCCAACGAACGCTAACCCTAGGTATTGCGCAGTTTCTTCAAAGCTCAAGTCGCATAGCGCCAACTCCCCAGCACCCCGCCCCCATGTGCCCGCACCACTTCACCAGACCACATCTCCATCACTACCCTCCAGCGACGCCGCACCACACCACCGCCAGCCGCCCACAACACCACACACCCACAACGACGCGCGTGCGAGTCTGCGTGCTTTGAAACGCTGTGACTTACGCCTTCTACGGGCAGCTTGCTGCGCCATTCGAGCCGCCACGGCGGCACTGAAAGCGAACTAGTGCGCATGCTCACTATGCGCCATCCAAGCAGGGACTCGGAAACCTAACGCTGGAAAGCTCCTGAAACTGCCTGACATATGACATTGCATGTCGCACGCGCCGTCCAACGATCCAGCACACTGCCGCCACACACTCACAAGGTTGCCACCCACTCTCAATACTACTGTACCACCCCACTCACACACACACACACAAACACAGCACAGATTTCCCTTGAAACACGAGGTCCAACAGTACAGACCTGTGCACCAATCACTGCTGCCCGCCCCCATTCAGCCCGCCAAAATCCGCTAAAGCAAGACTAGCTCTCGTGACACACCGAAACATTCAGAAGCGCAATCAAAAAGACGCCCAAAGGCACTCCAATGCATTCGCGCCCCTAGAGCACCTAGAGCTTCAACAGCCAAACTGCCCCAAGCACAGGCGCCTCACTCTGCGTGCGAGTGCAGACCTCACAACGGCCACAAGACATGACACGCGCAACGAATCTCTGGCGCAGGGAGCCTGAGATTGACCAGGCACTGCGTCCCGGCGCTGCAAGCCTTGAAATGAAGACGAAATGAACACAAAAAACTCCCCCGAGGAAGCACTGCAACGAAATGAAGACGAAATGAACACAAAAAAACTCCCCCGAGGAAGCACTGCAACGAAATGAAGACGAAATGAACACAAAAAACTCCCCCGAGGAAGCGCTGCAACGAAATGAAGAAGAAATGAACACAAAAACTCACCCGAGGAAGCACTGCAACGAAATGAAGACGAAATGAACACAAAAAACTCCCCCGAGGAAGCACTGCAACGAAATGAAGACGAAATGAACACAAAAAAATCCCCGAGGAAGCACTGCAACGAAATGAAGACGAAATGAACACAAAAAACTCCCCCGAGGAAGCACTGCAACGAAATGAAGACGAAATGAACACAAAAAACTCCCCCGAGGAAGCACTGCAACGAAATGAAGACGAAATGAACACAAAAAAACTCCCCCGAGGAAGCACTGCAACGAAATGAAGACGAAATGAACACAAAAAACTCCCCCGAGGAAGCACTGCAACGAAATGAAGACGAAATGAACACAAAAAACTCCCAGGCCTAATCGTGGTAGCCGCACAAGTATATACTACTCCCTTGTCCGTATCAACATCTCTCAACCTAACAACAACAAGAATGAATCACCAGTCTGACATGACAATCTGAATGCAAACACCTGATTCAGTCCGTGGTGCCGGTTGTCACAGCTGATCGGGCGGTAGCTCTGCTTCGTGATTTTCACAAGACCATGCCTATACGTCACGGGTGACACAGGCCTTTGCGAAGGGGGTCGGGCGTTGACGTGATGTCAGGACAAGGGGGTGAAGGATGAAAAAAAGTTGGAGATCAAAGGAATTGCCCAGATTGATAGAGATCAAAAAAAAATGAGCAGTCACATGCTATGACACGCGGCTGTTCGTGGGCTGCAAATGCTCAGATATGCAGAATTTCTGTCAAAATGCTGAAAAATGCTGCGTTTCTGTGTAGATGCTATTGATGACAGCATTTCGAACTGTTCCACGGCCTCCAGATGCTGGAAACTCCAGCAATTCTATCCCAAACGCTGCCCCCATTTGCAAACGCGCGCAAGATTGCACATGATTTCAAAAAGATTCAGACATCGCTTTGAAGCGAGCTTACAATGCGCGCATGATGGATTTCAAAAAAAATCAAACATGCTTTCAAGCAAGCTTTGCTTAAAATTGCAGGGGGGGTGCCCTCCCCCCCCCCCCACCATTTGCAGACACAATGCTGGCATGACGGGTTTCATAGAAGGTTCATATACGTGGAAGCATGCTTGCACGCCTTAAAAAAGCGGTGGGGGGGAGGGGGGATGCTCGCATGCTCAAAAGAAGCTTGGAATGAAGCAAGGGGGGGTGCCCCCCGCCCCCCATTTGCAAACACAATGCTTGCCTGATGGGTTTCAACAAGATTCATATGAATGGAAGCACGCTTGCACAGCTTAGAACAGTTACGGGGGGGAGGGGGGGGTGCTCGCATGATCGGTTTTCCAAAAAGGATGCTTTGGAGCAAGCAAGTGCACGGCTTAACAAAGGGGGTTGGTGAAAGAGCGGCGGGGGGGGGGGGAGTTTTCCAACGAAAACCACCATGGTCCATTTTCTTGGTTTTTCCTGCATAAACCTCCATTCCCTCTGCGTATTCATCGGATTCCTACTACTTTTCGGAATGCTTGTAAATTCTGCTCGCAAGCTTGCACGGACGGGGGGTTGGGGCGTGCTTTGAAACAACTCAATTCGTTTGCCTTGAGGCGGGCTTGCACGGTTTAAAAATGGGCGGGCGGGGGGGCTGCGCCCAGCCCTCCTCCATCGGGCGATGGGCTTCAAAACGATTCATATGCTCTGAAGACAGCATCGCAAGTAGGGTTTAGGGTTTAGGGTTTAGGGTTGGGGTTTAGGGTATCACAAGTAGGGCTTAGGATGTGCTTTGCAACCGTGTAGGGTTTCGGGGCTTAGGGGATGGGGGGGGCGGGGGGTGGGGGGTGCCAAAGGCCGATCGCACACAAGCACAGCTCAAACAGGGTTAGGCTACCGGGTTAGGGTTTAGGGCTTCATGTTTGTTTCACTCAGAACGACTATTACAATACGGTACCATATTAGAATACAGAATCTGCAGTAATATCATGAATATTCTTAACAAAAGGTCAGCAAACAAATACTATATCAAAATACATAATCTGATATGCAACAAGTCGGATAGCAAAGCCCAGACGCCCAGACGACCATGGGACCAGAGGACCACTGGACAGGAGGACCACGAGACCGCAAGAACCCGGAAGACCAGGACGAAGAAGACCATGGGACCAAGGGTCTGTTCTTCCAACACGCCAGAAGACCGGAGGACCGGGGGCGAGCAAATTGTTTTTCATCCTCAACAAATTGCTTTGTGATCCTTAGCAAAACTTGCTTCATCCTTGTCACCTTTTTTGATACATATGCCGGACAAGCGGGATATCGGTGGGCACCACGTTGAAACCACAGCTGGGCGATGACTACCTTGTCTTCACGAACTGCAAAGTTCTTAGCTGAAATCCTACAACAATCATCACCCCAAAAATCCTTAACCTTTGCTACTTATGCAGGGCCGAACCCGTCTACGATCCACTTGCGGGAAAATCGCGTGCTGGGAGGTCTCTGCTCTGACCAACATGAAACAGAATCTCCAAGGTGTTGATAAGGAAGGGGCTAAGAACCCAACCAAAAGAAACCACCCTGCAATCGAGCTCTTTCCCCGGGGCATCACCGCTTGCACAAAGTCTGCAAGAAGGCCCAGGCACGCGAGGATGAAGGGAGTCTGCTGTCCAGGCAATCCAGAAGCAGCGCTCGTCCGGCGGGCGCTACCAGCAGAAGATGTCAGCTGTTGCGAGGCAAGGTCTACGACTCCAGAGACTGTATTCGTTGATGTAAGCATTTCACCATCTCTCTCTCTCTCAGCATCCGTGGCTCCGGCCCGGACTACGCGTCCCTTGCCTTCGATCCCTGATGGCTTCAGGGGCCCATTCCGCCAGCTGTGCTGCTCGGGTCGTCCCATGGTTCCAGCTTTCTGCACATGCTACGGGTGGAACGTCGCGCCGATTTCAACTGTTGAGCAGGAGCACATTGACATGAAGGCAATGCACATATCATTCAGAGAACTGAAGCAGACGGCGGGCGTATCGTTATGAGATTCCCAGAACTCTTTCCAGCCATCGCCTGGTGAACCAGTCTCCAAATACGAGTATTCTGTGCATAGCAGATTGACCTCCTGCCGGTGAACGGTCAGCTCGCACGTCTCTACACCATATTCCACCCACTGCTCTGCAGACAAAGGTTCCTCGTAGCGCAACGCCCAGCGCCTCGAAAGCCAAGTCGTGTTGGATTGAAGCCTAATTAGACTGCTGCAGGTACAACAAGGCCACGGCAGGGGTGAACAGACTGACGTTGTACGAACTTACAGCGTGTTTAGGCCCAAAACCCTGAAAATGAACAGGCGAATGTCTCTGTGGTTAGTTAGTGCTGGTCGTGTTGGAAACGGCAACGACGGCGTAGATTTTGTTGAGTTGAAATCGCAGGCTGACCCACTTTTCCATTTTTTTGGAGGTTGATCAAAAGTTGTGCTTTGAGCCGTTGACATTCTGCATTTTGCAGCATCCCCTCAAGAGACGGTTGACGCATGTTGTCACGCATGTGTTTCACTAGCCTTTTCTGGAGTTGGTCTAGGTACTGAAACGATCCATAAAAGTGAAACGCCATGCTGGTTTTACGTCGTGATGATTGCTTGTGGGGCTTTACCGATTTGGGAGCTCATCAAGCCAGTTCCCCAGGCGGCAAACGACGCCGGAAAGCATCAAGGACCGTTTTGGAGCTGAAGACTAATGCTGGAGGAGGCAGCAACAGACCCAGTGCCACCTCCACCTCACCCTGCACCAGCTCCCTCTGCAGTTCCTCCCCCGCTGAACCGCCGCCTCCCAACCCACCGCGCGCGCAAAAAGGAGTACAAGAGCATCGCTCGAGAACGTGCCCAGCCCTTTAGCCCTCCTCGATGCTTGTGAAACGTGAGCTTTGTGAGAAGTGTCACAACATGTCGGATGAAGGATAAACCGGCCGATTGCCACTACCACCTGTGAAGTAGAGGCAGCATAGGCCCGCGGCATTGCACGGAGTGCTTGAAGTGGGGAGCTGCTGGTACGTGGCGACTTACCGCCTTATGGCTCAAGCGCGGATGACACGCAAAACCGAGGAGTGCACCGTGTCCTGTGCAAAGGTTTTCCTGCAGTCTTGAGGGTTTCCGGTGGGTTCCCTGAGTCCTCCTTCCCGGTATTTTCTTGGGGGTTCCTGTAGGTGAGGAGCATTTCAGGGCTGCATGGCAGCCCCAGCACGCAAAGAATCCCGCCGCACACTTGCCCATGAGGCGACTATCCCAAACGCACCTGGCGCGCAGCACCAAAAATACTCTCGCATGTGTTCACGAAGAGTTTAGGGGTTTGTGACGAATTGTGCCGTATATTTACGGCGCAGCCCCTTCCTCTGTCAGACTGTTCACCCCTTCCGTACACGAATACAAGGAGACACTGCAACTTGGAAGCCTCTCCCGCGGCATGTCCAAGATCCGAGCCAGGGCCTGCAAGCGTCAGGCTGCCGCAGGCACGCATCTAGGGCTTCTACCTTGGACAATTAAGTAAGGTTGTACCCTTGGGTGTCGGGGTCCCTTTTTAAGGATCCCAAAGGGGATATAAGGGCCATTATAGGAGGATACCTTTAGGGGTACAACCTTAGGGGCACGAGTCATCATCCCTTGAACGCACCCTACCAGCAAACCCGAAAGCGCCCACCTGTGTCGGAGGCTACGGGTGGCCCAGAGTCTCCCAGAATCTTGAGCCTTGGCCCAAACATGGGGTTTAGGGGTTTAGGGGTTTAGGGGTTTAGGGGTTTAGGGGTTTAGGGGTTTAGGGTTTAGGGTTTAGGGTTTAGGGTTTAGGGTTTAGGGTTTAGGGTTTAGGGTTTAGGGTTTAGGGTTTAGGGTTTAGGGTTTAGGGTTAACACCTGCACCGAAAACCCAGCTTGCCTGGGTCAACTGGGCTGCTGAACTTATGGCCGAGCATCGGGAAGAAAGTGAGACACTCGTTCCCAGCACCTTGGGCTTTGCAACATCCAATACCATGCCTATCCTATCATCAGTATTCTGTCGAGCCGATGCAAAACTACGCAGCCAGGCAGCTCATCAAGCAGGGCACCGCCACTCTCGCCGATCTCAGATGCCTCCACTCAGTCCAGCCACCAGGGCACGTTGCAAACTGGATCGTACAAATTGTTATAGTATCAATATAGAATGATCATAGAACTGCTATAGTATCAACATAGTATTATTTTCGATGATCAACAACCATCCTAAGAAAACAATCCTCCTAAGAAAATGGAATCGACTATAACTAGGAATGGAAACAGCAAAGATAAGCCGAATGAGAATTCACGAGTCTGCCTCAAACCTTTCCAGGATGTCCATACGGCAAGCATCGCGGTCAGCTCAACGCAGAGGAGCCAGAGCAACTGCGGCATAACCCTCTCAACCCAGAACCCTAAACATGAAGCAGGCGCAGCCTCCGAAGGACAGTCGGCGGATGGAGCTGCTCCCATAGCCTGCCTGCAGGTCCACACCACACAGTCAGAAACAGTACCAAGCTGTTGAATACGACGCGGAAAAGCAGAAACTTTGAGGCCTCATGCCATCAAGGCCGTTCTCAGTGTCCACCACTTCAAGCACTTCCTGCCGTGCGGAAGATTCAGAATGACTCCTTCAAACAGCCAGCTGGCCCACGTCAGGACAGGCCTCATCTTGCGCGGAAGCACAGGCCCAGATGGCTTGACAAGGTTGGGGGACAAATGAAATGAAAGTCGCTGCAAGCCCAGCGGGCCTGGAAGCTCAGAGAATTGAAGAAGTCGCTGATCATCATCATGGACATGGTTCTGCAGCTGTGCCCCTTTAGCTCAACTGCTTGGAAACAAATCCTCCGCTCATTCTTGCAGTGCGCAGAATCCCCCCTAGATCCACGTGGTGGACACGACGGTTCTCTCCAAGGCACAGCCTGAGCCAACAGGGCTACAAACAGCTACCAATCCATGACGAACCTCGGAAAATCTGGGCTACGATCTGGGGAGCAAGGTGCTTCCATGGCTACAATAGCGGCTACAATCTACCATCTTCAATAGGCTTCAGGGAACCAATGTCGTGTGCAAGTATCTTGCCATTGCTGCTGCACCGTTGTTGCTCATGTCAGCCTGCAACAGGCAGGACCACGTCAACAATTCTCAGGCGGGTGCAACCACAAGATAACTTGGCCGAAACGCGTACTTCATCGTGTATAATGTTTGCAAAGCTCCCACCTTCAACACAAGCAACCATTTTGGTTCAAGCCATGTTAGGTCAAAGGAGGCAAGGGTCGACAGGCAACATTCTCCTAATACCGCCTCCATGCCTGGAACAGCAAAACTGCGTGTGCCAGTTCCACAACATCATGCCCCCACCATGTACCTGGAGGTATCAGGAAGAGCAATTCGAGGGAGCCCCTGCGGAGCATTCGCAAGCACGAAGCTGCGCGTTAAAGGAGAACGATTTGCTCTGGAAAGGAGAGGAAAAGTCAGCCTTCATTGACATAGAAAATGCTCGAAAGTGAACGTGATCAAAGAAGCGTCTCTGGTTGACAGCTTGGCCGACATGTCGGCTGAGAGCCTGGATTGTGCTGTTAAAATGCCTACGGAGTTTTTTTGTCGGCTCCGGGCTCCACTGGGGCACATTATTCCCTTCCGGGCTTTGCTCTTCTCAGAACCCTGTGGTGAGTTGCTGTGCTGTTTCGGCTGAATGGATCGGGGGACATCGTCTGTTCCTGTGTTTGCGACATCACGAGCTCATCGTACTACCAATCGCAATGTAGCTTATCCAGCGCTTAGTTCAAAAAAGAGGAGGCGGCAGATACGCAAATGCAGCCACCGAGGCTTGCGTACCGTCCATGGCCGCGACTCAAGGTTGTCCTGTCACTGAGGCTGTGGGGTGGTTGATGACAACGCGGCAGAAGCCCAGGCGTGAGCTAGCATCGATTGTGGCTTCGGCAGAGGTTGCAACGCCTGCTGTGCACCGACAATCAAATCGAGCCTCGCGTCAGAGGCGTCGAGGAGCGACCTATGATGCGTCAGGAGGGTTAGGGGGCACGTGGAGAGGTGATTGGGAGCTCCGGCGGATGTTTTCCACTGAGGTGCTGCTGCCTCTTCGGTGTGCAATTTTTACCGGGACTTAACAACCATTTAATCGTGGATCTTATCACTCATCACTGTGGACTGCGCCCCTTTGCCCTGCCAGAAACCAAACCCCAAGAGAACGGTTGCAAAGAGCTGCCATCAGGGAGTAATCATGAGTGGGCACCGCATATGGCTCATTTCGGCTAAGTTAGCGCATGCTCCCAGAAGCTCGAGACCACTTAAAACCCACGCTCCTTGGATAGGTCGGAAAGAGTTCAAAACGAGAGCTCTTGTGGCCCGCTCGACCCAACTGCGCAGGAACGGCTGGGTGCGTCTGTTCCCGCTTCTTCTGGAATGCTTAAACATCTCCGCTACGATGGATTCAGCGCTCAGTTGCGCGAACGGTCGCCAAGGCGTCGTCCCAAGTGGACACAGCAGGCTTCCTCAACAAGTACCTGAGCTCTCCCGAGAACACATTTGTGCAAGGATGTGAGTTTGCGATGTCAACAGGTGGTGCGTGCATGTTCGTTGCACCGACGTGCGGCTTGCTAATCTCAACTTTAGTTGTTGCATGGTACGCGCCGCTTCGCCTCTGTGGCACAGACCCCTGCCCCAAAAACACAAGAAGCCGCGCGAAGATTGTGGAGATTGAGTTGTCACCTTCTGCCTGTCTGACAAGCCATCTAAGTTGCATCCAAGGGGCTAAACCAACAACTTGACAACTTCCGGTGCTTTTTAGACCTTGGTAGCCCAGTAGCCATCTTACAATAAGGGCACCCTTTTTGGGGATAGTTACTTCATAAGGGAACCTTGAAACCAAAAAAAGGGAAAAGGGCACCACTGGGCTACCAAGAGACCAGCATCTCAGTGACAGGGCAGGGCTTCCCAAGCCATGCCCCCAGCCTTTCGGCATCGGCGGCCGAGAAGGACCTTGCAACAACGGCCAGGGAAAAACATAAAAAAAAAAGTGTTTAGGATGGTTTTGGGTTTTGGGTTTAGGGTTATAAGGTTTAGGCTGTAAAAAGAGTAGAAGGACGGGGGGGGGGGGGGGGGGCCAATACTCGGCTGAGCCATCTTGACTCTTGTGGCCCGAGTGGCGCATAGATTTTCTGCATCGCTTGGAAGCAATGCTGTGCCCCGCCTGCCCGAAGCTCAGGGTCCAGTATTCGCGCTTCTTCGCTTTTCAACCCCTTGAAGCCCTTCAAGCCTAAACCCTAAACCCTAAACCCTAAAACCTAAACCCTAAACCCTAAACCCTACACCCCAAGCCCTTTACTTAGCCTGCCTGTGGCATAGTACCAAAAGTAGAGGAACATCTCTTTGTCAAAGGCTTTCTTGGCCGCATCCGCCGCTTCCATGTCCAGCTCCTGGGGTTTAGGGTTTAGGGTTTAGGGTTTAGGGTTTAGGGTTTAGGGTTTAGGGTTTAGGGTTTAGGGTTTAGGGTTTAGGGTTTGGGGTCCTGGTGAAGGAGCGCCATCAGCCTCTGCACGTCTGACGGGGACCTCCTTAGACGAAAGGAATCGCTTGCAGCTCAGCTCGCTGACAGAGTCTTCCGAAGCTCAATCTCTCAGAGTCTTCTGAAGCTTAACTTTAGGGTTTAGGCTTTACAGGGTTAAGGGTTTAGTGCTCAATTCCTTTCTGCGAGGCTTCCAAGCAATGTTGTCGCGCTCCCAAGGGTCCGCTTGCAGGTCAAACAGCTGGGGGGCCCATGGGGGCATCCCGGGCAGCAGCGGCGCGTACGCCAGCAGCTTCAGGTGCCCCTGACGGACCATGAAGGTGCCCGTGGCGGAGTAGACCTCGGAAAAGACCACTCTCCTTTTGCGTGAAAAAGTGGCCCCTGCTGAGGAGCTTGCTCAGCCTGAGACTACAACACGTCTGCATCATTCCGCTGCATTTGCAGGGCGCCTACATGGGTTAGGACTGGGCCTATCTCCAACCTCGGGAATGCAAGAAGGGTCTTTCAGCGTCAGGGTGCTAGCAACCATGTCCAACCGCCTTTGCGAGTCAAGGCGCAGAATGGTATTCGGCCACCACATAGTCTCTCTGCTTCTTCTGGTTGTTGGTGGCCAATGGAAGGAGTGACTCCTTGGTTCCCACTGCAGCGACCCCTGAAGCCACATGTGGCAACAGCCCCCTGTGAGCCAGAGCGCTCCCACTGGTTCGACGGTCGGCAAGACCCCCGCCATGTCCAAAACAGTTGGATAGATGTCCTCAGATGCTGAGGAAGAGCCGGAAGAGCCCTGTGCCCATCCCAACGCGTATCGCAACAAAACGCTTTGACTCAGACACGCCATGCCATCATCCCGGCTGCAGCCCCTGCAACACCAAGCTGCCTCTCTTGAGCCGTAACCGGAGCCATAACCACATAAAAGCCCAGAGCATGCCTTAACCACATAAAAGCCCAGTTAGCATCCCGACAAAGCATGAGCCAAGCTTCGTAGAGCGAGGTCAGGTCTGGAAGGACCTGGCCTCGTGCAATGCCTGGCCCGGCGATCATGAGAGGCACCCGTGCGGCCGCTTCGAAGAAGGAGTTCCTAGGCAGTGGCCATACTGTTGGTTCGTGGGGAATGGGGGAATGAGGGCCCTACATAATCCCTTCACGGATATATACGGAATATAGGGCCCTCATTCCCTCATTCCCTGCTAACCAACAGTTTGAGTGGCCATGACGGTTGCTCTTGCAGGATTCTGTGTAGCTGCCAAAATGCACTAAACCGTACCTTCTTGGGCCCACATCCCCCTTCGACAGCCCATGGGATCGTCCGAGGCACTTGCCAAGCATGCGGTTCTCAGTTGCGTGCTCCCCGTGGTCTCCGAGCATGATGACCTTCGAAAGTGTTAGGGGCGGCATTTTTCGAATGCCAGGGCATTGCCTTCAGAAGACGTCGGGCAGTTTTCGCTAGACCACAGCGCCCCACCGGCTTGACGATGGTCACCCGGAGTAACACCAATTTCTTATAATCTGTGCAACCTGCCTGACAGGATCTCGCTGCCTGTCTCAAGCCCGATCGTCCTTGAAACACTTCTAAAAACAAACTCTCTAAGGGCTTGATTATAAGTCTTTTTGCCAAAGTCCATCGGTATCCGGATTCTCCCTAATCAGCGTTTGCATCCTGCCCCAGATGTGGCTTCCCTTGGCCCATCTTGGCCCCACAGACATGATTCACCAACATAATCATGCAACAACATAAAAAATGACAATACAATAACAATAAAACGGGGCTTCTGGCGCTCCAGGCTGCCGAGCAGCGTAGGCGTCATCGAAGCTGCTCCTGCGTCGGAAGGCATCGAGGATGCGTCCCAGGAGCTGGTCTGCCTCGATGCACATCGAGAAGTAGACCTTCCGCAAGTGGTGCACCTGTCATGGGGGGTTTCCGACATTCGGGGGTACCTCATTGGGGTCCTTATTTAAGGGTATTTGGGGATCCTTTCTAGGGGCCCCCTATTTCCGTAAACCTCCAGCCAAAGCTCCTATGAGCTCCAGCAACAAGGGGCCTTCAAGGGTGATGCTTCATCCATGCGCCAGAGATCCTTGCCCTTGGACATGTACTCGTCCGCGGGATGCACCTTTAAACGTGAGCTCTGCAGTCAAGAATGGGCACGTGCCAACTTTCCTCTGGGAGGGAATGCCTACCCCTTTATAGAGTGACTCACGCGTCAGCATCGTAAATGTTGCAAAAAGGGGGGGGGGGGTCACAAATATAGGGGAATACGCTCTTTGGGAGCTTCCTATCAGACCTATCCAAGGGGTTGGGGTTGTAGTGGGACCCCTATTCTTGGGGAAGTACCCGACTCTGAGACTCTTTATAAATTCATGTCTACAACACCCCCCTTAAATTGGGCATCCCGGTGCCTTCGCCTTTGGCTGCCAGTGGGGCAAGCTGTGCCTCCCCAATCCAGGCACTTCTGCCAGATATGTGGAGTTGGTCCAGTAGGGCGGATGAGGAACCAGGATCGAGCAGTAGAGAAACTGCGGCACGGCGGAGTCGAAGAGCCCAGAGTCAAGGAGCTCTGCACAGTTCTGTGTTGTCAAATAATCCAGGGGATCCGCGGCTGGCCGGGGCACGTCATCACGCGTGGTCAGGGCAGGTACATATTGGCTGGGCGAGAGTCCCAGGGCTCGGGACCACTCCATGGCAGCTTTCGGGCTGCGCTTCCCATGGAAGGGCCAGGCATCGATCTGCCCAGGGTAGCGGTGCAGCCCTGCGCCCGCGTGCATCTTTCCCCAGAGGGTGACGTTGTAGCCTGACGCGGCCAAGGCATCGATGAAGGTGCCCTTCACCCTCTGCTTCCTGGCAAACTTCCGGCAGGTCTCCTGCCAGGCAGACATGGGCAGCTGGCAAAAGCCCTGATTCCTCCCCTCCCCTCGTAGAGGCAACAGACACGGAACGTGTGGCCGCACCTCCGAGAATGCCATTACACAGTGCGAGTCAACATCGTCCGAGCTACCATTCACGCCTGCGATGCCCACGAAGTTGTCCCAAACCTGGAGACCGAGGTGTGCGTGTCACGTGCGCTTTCAGGGCAGAACTCGTTTCACCTCCATCACTGATCATCACTGCTGCAGAGAAGAGAAAGCGTGTTGCTCTCGTTCCCATGCTGCCCACCTTGATTTGGGATGGGTATCGCCCGGCCAACATTGAAGATCTGGCAGGCACACATTGAGGAGAGGATGAATATGCCTGGTCAGGACGGAAACAGCAAACCTGAAACCCTGAACCCGAAACCCTGTAAACCCTAAACCCTAATTGCTGCGACGTGTTGTCACAAGCTTTCATCAGAAATCTCTCGGATTCCGGGGCGCCTGCGGAAAGTACGCGCCATCCGCTGCCAGCGAGCGCAGATTCCGCAGCGGTGGCTTGAATTGAGGCGAGGCATCATCCAACAGCCGCCCATCCATTTGCTTGGCAAAGATTGGCAAAGAATTCGGACAGAAAAGACGGACTTTCTCAAGACTTTGCTACTTCTACGTTGCCTTTTCTGTGCATGTGCTGACGAAGACCTTTTTCGCCTTCACAACCCCCAAAGCAACAACATGCAGCAACACGCAAGTCTGCAAGCGAGTCTCATCCACCATCAGGAAGAGAATGTGAGGCCGGCTTGGTTTCTCACCTGCCAAAGCAAAAATCTCCAGCATCTCTTTCGTGATGTCACTTTCTCACAACTCCTACACACTTATACTATATAACTTACATATATATAAAAAACAACTATATAACTTATACAAGTCCTGTCGGACTCAAGAAGCCTGCAGATACCAGGCCGATGGTGAGAAGGCAAAAAACCGCGCGGCCCATGGCGCCGAGCATGGTGCTGGCAAGACGGGTTGCTCCGCAGCTGGTCAAGCTCCCCCCCCCCCCCTGTAGTAGCAAAAGCTGCGAAAATGTCAAGCAAGGAGGAGGTCGCGAGCGCAGCTAGATGTGACAACGCTTGACAATTTGACAACTCTTCGGGAAGGAAGGCCAATTCTTCCGGAGCACCAGCATGATCCAACCCACAATGCCTCAAGTGCACGGGCCTGTGTTGGCCCGTGGCTATTGTTATTGCAGCTTTGGTTTCTGTATTTGGCCCGCACGACATGCTGGCATGTCTGTTGCGAACGGCCTCAGAAGGCCAACAAGCTTGCCGCATCTTCCCTGGTTGCTAAATCAGGTTTTTTCAAGACTTGCAGGGACGATACGTGAGGATTCTTTTTTCGATGACTACGATGCAGACCTACATAGCCTTCCGCTCGGATTTTCGAAGCTTCTGCCGCCCTCATGGTAGTCACCCACATGGGCCTCCGCTCGGACTTCCACGGGCTACGCGTGCTAGGTAAAAAAAACATGCCCGATACCACGCCCTCATAAAGCTAGGCCGAAAGGGGGCTTAGAACAACTCCCAAGTATGTGCAGTTCTTGCGCCCGGTGCATGTTCGGCAACGACTCCTGCATCATCTGCACCCTGCTCGCAAGATGCCCAAGCCGAAACGTCCAGGGCCAAGCGAGTGGCTGCGCCGCAGGCCGCCGAGGGCTGGCATGAGTTTCCGCTGCGTGGCACGGCGGTCCGGGCCACGGGCGTTAACCATGTCACTCCAACGCGGCAAAGCGTACGCAAGGTATCTCAAGCAGTGCAGATGGCATGGTTTTGCAGGTCGCAGTTTTCCCAGCGTAACCCAACTGATCAATTCGGGTCTCTGGGGGAGGCGGGGGCAAAGAACGCAAGCATGTTTGTTTCCTTCCGCCATGACAGTCGACCAACCTACCAGGGCATTGGCCCCTTGGCCCATCGCCACGCGCACACTACCTAAAGAACGCGGCGTGCTTGGACAGACTGAAGTGGGGGATGGGCGGGCTGCGGGAGTTCATCACAAGGATACCGTAGCAAATGCTCTGGCCCACTCCGTCGTTGCTGCCCTGGTCCATGGGCAGGTCTTCCAAACAAGCCATCGGAATCACCGCAAACCTTATCGCGTTGCAAGGTGAAAAGATTTCCACTGCGACGAGCTGCCTCATCCAGCTCGAGCAAGGGGCGAGGGCGAACACCCGGCTTGTTCTTGAGGTCCAGAAATTAGAGTTTAGGGTTTACCTAGATCTAGGGTTTAGGAAGTCGCATGTAAAAAAGCCCTGCTAGACTGTAGCTCTGACCTCAAGAACGGGCGTGCAATTCGTGACTCGTATCTCTCTACCTCGGGCGGTTACCGCCTTCATTCTGATACCAACCTTAGGATTCAGTTCCTAATTCTACAGCAGATCTGGGACTTTAGGGATGATTCAGAGAGCGGCTAACCTTTTCACGAGAGCTCTTTTGACCCTGGATTCACCTTATCATGAGACGTTAGAACTAGAAATACTACTGGAAAAAGATGGGACAGGAACTCTCTTGACAAGGAACCCACCCTCGGGACCCCAACATCAAATCCTTCTTGACACCCTACAAAGAGCTTCCTTGTTCACCAGGCTGTTACCAAAGAGGCTTGAGTTCTACAGCCCAGTCCACACGCTTCACCTCTTGGAATCTTCCCTAAAGACCCTGTAAACACCCCCTTCACTCTTGGACAAGCTAATATTAAATTATAGGGTCTCTGGGGATGGAACTTCACCCCTTCTGGCATGCTTTGGGAGTGGTGTCAGCAAGGGGGCCCCTCAACCTTGCAGTAAACTCCAGCTCCTCGCAACTGACATGGGCGAGCTCATGCTTTCAAGAGGACAAATCTTTATCAATCACCCATACTGTGGTCATCCAGTACGCGTATGGCAAGCACTGCGAAACATGCATGTTGAATGCTATGAGACCGGGGCATTGGCATTGGACTTCTCGCCGGAGGTCCGCGACGCGCTGACCACGTCGATATCGACGTTGTGGCCCTTGAGCTCAGTCCAGCTCATCGCACCCGCCACGACACCGTCGGCAGCGTAGACGACGGACACGTGTCGCCGCCTTTCTTGGTGTGGTGGCCGGCGAAGGACTCCAGGGCGTGCTGCCGGTTGACGTCTCAGGGGGCACACCGTTGCATGTTGCGTGTGTCCCAACTCTACCATCATGTACTATGGGACTTGCACTACAGCTCCGTTACAGCTTCTGTTACGCGTTCTCTCCTCGCCCGCCCGCCCGCCCGCCCGCCCGCCCCCTCCCTCCCTCCCTCCCTCCCTCTCTCTCTCTCTCTCTCTCTCTCTCTCTCTCTCTCTCTCTCTCTCTCTCTCTCTCTCTCTCTCTCTCTCTCTCTCTCTCTCTCTCTCTCTCTCTCTCTCTCTCTCTCTCTTGCAGTGCTCAGGAGCACCTTTCGCTCTGTCTCAGTGAGATCGTGGCCATTTAGCTTGTGTGAATGATGCGGGGAAGTCGTCTGAGGTTGCATGACGCTCAGATGTTCATTCGGGCACGTGACTTCTCGTGTGCCCCAAGAGACTCGCCTGCAGCACCATGTTGGCAACATGGCGGCCCTGGCTATCGCATCGTTTTCATCAAGATAGCACACACTCTCACATGTAAGCGTCGGGCACATTGGGCGCGGTGCTGTTTTTCCCAATACATCGCCTTGCCAAATTTCAGCAACTGCCAGCAAATCACCAGGCGACGCTCCTCTAAGTTCCAAGCCATGGGGGCACGAGAGTAGCGGTACACCCTGTTGTGGCTGGTTTACTGTTGCCATCTCGGTCGTGATCCTTGACAGCTGTGAAAGGGCATCAAATTAAGCATGGCTTCGCCGAACGAAGCTTGAAAGGTCTACAAGTCCTGAAGTTTTGAAGGCACACCACGCACGTTGGAATTGCAAGCAATGCTCAACTTTTTCCAACGATGACAGCAGCCGGGCATGTTCCCACAAGGCTCTGCCCCAACGTAGATTGAAAGCTTTCATGCGACGTATTTGCGTTCGTAAGTCTAACTTGTAGCTGCCGGATATTCAACAGATGACGCATGTACAACACAAAAAAAGCCCCGTGCGGCAGCCGGTTTCGAAGCACTTTTATCGGCCCGTGGCCTGCCGTGGGCCTCTGGGTTTTTGCAGCCCAGTCCTTGTTAGCCCGGCCCACATCTGAGTCTGCGCTTCCGATGGGCCGATGACAGGTTGCCCCTTGATCCGCGAAAGTGCATCAGGATAGGCTAGTTAGAGTAAAGGCGGTCTACAGCAGATACGTAAGGAAAGCCCATGAGCCACACGTTCAAGCCGGCGCTTTGCACACAAGCCGTCTGTGTCGTTACAGTTTCGTTGCGTGAAACGCTTTGTGCCAAACTGCTCAAGCCAGACCTATGCACAAAACGGTTCAAGCGAGTGCTTTGCACACAAAACATCACGTTGTGTCAAACAAATTGAGCCAGCGCTTTGCGCACAAGCCATCTTCTCGTGACAGTCTGGTTGCGTGAAAGACATTGCGTCAAACTGTTCAACCCAGAGCTTTGCACACAAGCAACCTTTTCGTGCCGGTTCCGTTGCGGGAAACACGTTGTGTCAAACTGCTCAAGCCAGCCCTCTGCACACAAAACCAATCTTGTGCGTAGCAAATCGTACCCCCTCTGAAGTTGCCCATGGTGTCAACATGTGTCAACCAATTCTTACACGGCTCATGTACAACGACAGCACTTAGTGCGAAAAGACCGTGTCAAAAATGCCCAACTTCTGTGCATCGCGGACACACGTACAATGACAGCACGTCATGCATTTGGAAAAAGTATGCTCCCAGTTTGTGCGCTTTGCCCCAAGCAGTGGACGAAGTACGATTTGTTGCCACCTGCTTGTGGGCAGTCTGCAGGTTTTTTGTCCCAAACGCCTTTGTTGCTGGCGCGCATTCAATTTAGTCATGGTGTCAGAGCATGAACAGTGCGGAAAGGATAGGAAAGGAACGCGATACCTGCCAGTTCCCTACAAAAGCTCTGGGTTTTAACATCAGCGCAAGCGGAACGCAAAGGAACCCAGGAACCCTCCAAGCAGAAATCCCCCTCAGTGAGGAAGGCGTTCCTTTCTTTCCGCTGTGGGAATAGTATTCTTATTCTCCCACAACATAAAGGAACGTCCAGAGCTGGCCTGAATGCTGCCAGTCGGCTAGTAGTGGTGATCTCCAGTTCTTTCTGTCGAAAGGATGGTCCGAAATCGGTTTGGCGCAAGAAGCCCACACACAGGCAGCAACAAAAACGTGCAACAAAAACGTGCAACAAATCGTACTGTTTCGACTGTTTCGGGCAAAATAGCCCACAAACTACCCACAAACAGGTGGCAACAAATCGTACTTCTTCCAATGCTTGGGCCTAAATGCCCACAAACTGGGAGCAACGAATGGTACGTACTTCTTCCAAATGCATGAAGTGCCGTCATTGTACATGCGCGCGCGACGCACACAACACTTTGGACATTCTTGACACGGTCTTTTCGCACGAACCGTGACACCATGACCAAATAGATCGCGCCAGCATGTCCTGCTGGTCGCAGGTGTGCTCTCAAGGAACTTGAGAGCAGGGCGAACGAAAGCTAGGGCGCAGGTGTGAAGACCGCGCTGCTCAGTCATGTAGACAAGCCCTGAAATGATAAGTAACAATGCTGACCTAAGGGGGGGGGGGACCCCCCCCCCCACCTTATCGGGAACATGCCTCCCCCCCCCCCCTGGATCCGCCAGCCTCCAAGGATTTCTTGTGTGGTCACCCCCAGAGGGGGGGGGGGGCCCCCCCACCCCATATCGGAGATTAAGGCCCCTGAGTGCTGTTTGACCCAAGAACAAACTGGTAAACAAGAACTCCCGCAAGCTCCTAAAGAGCTAGCTTTCGTGATAATCATAGTGCCCTGCACGCAAACAATCATTTCTTGACAGTTTCGTGGCGTGAGACACTTTGCGCCAAACTCTTCAAGCCAGCGCTTTGCACACAATCTTGCGACAGTTTCGTTGCGCGAAGCACTTGGTGCCAAACTGTTCAGGAGGTCTTTTGGGGTTGAATTTGTGCCCCAGTGACCGCCACCTGGCTTGCCAAGAGACGGTGATCACTCGGGCACGACTTCTTCTCACAGGAGAGCCCTTTGCGAGCGTGTTTTCTGCTTCTTCCACGTCTGACGACCAAGATCTGCGCAAGCAGGGCTTGCTCAGTGTAGAGTCGCTTTGAATCTGTTCTCAAATTACCCCGCGCCTCTTGGGGGGAGCCATTCTGGGGGGGCCCTGATTAGAGCAGCTCTTGGACAGTGGAAGTTGTTTTTAGGGTTTAGGGTTTAGGGTTTAAGGCTTAAGGTTTGGGGTTTAGGGTTTTGGGAGGTCCTTGTGGTTGACTTTGTGCCCCAGCCTTGTTCCCACAAGAGAGCCCTTGGTGAGGCTATTCTTGCTTGCGTTTTCCGGGTTTCCCCTTGGTGGCTTTCCCGTTTCTTGACTCTCAAGGCCCGCTTCCTGACCCTTTATTTCCCATTTCCTGACTCAGTTTGCTGAACCCTACCTGGAAAACTCGGTATCCGCTTATTCTTGGCGTTTTCAGTCGTTGACGCTTTTTGGCGGGATTTCAGGCACTGGCTAAAGTGACTGTTTTTTGGGCTCAGGAGTTTAACATGAAACACATCCCGAAAAGCCCCAAGGGGTAAACAGGAACCACAAACCACTTCCATGAAACTCGCTCCTAAACCCTCAACCCTAAACCGTTTCATGAATGTGGTTGCTCTGGTCGACTCGGACCGTTGGTTGCCATGAGTTTACATTGCGTGGCCAGGCGGCCTGGGCAGTGGGCGTCAACGCTGTCAAAAGCTTGCAGCTTCAATTCGATGAAGTGTATATATGTTAGCTATGTTATCGATTCGTCAGATAGATGGCATGGTTTCAGGAGTGCTCTCAGCATCAATCAGCGAAACCCACCTGACGCACGGTGCTTCTCAACACGCAATGTCACCTTCCCCCTCACGCCATCACTGTGGATCTCCGTGGGAGGATGCAAACAACGCAAGCATGACCCCCCGAAGAGTGGGGCAAAGCAAGCGGCGATCTGCTGGAATACGCCACGATAAGGGCACACGTGGCACTCAGATCGTTCAAGCTGGAACACATCAAAAACAACAAAACACATCACTGCAGATGATTTGGCCCAGAATTGCCCAGAGCCCAGGTGTGCTTTGTACCTGCCATGTTGTTTTCAGTGGCTCAAGTTGCTGATGTCGGGTCAGCCGTCATCAACGCACTTTGTCGATGATTTCGGACTGGCTCTCACAAGCTTGAACTTGAACCGCACGAAAGGCCTTGTTGTTTCGGGCCAGCGTGAGACTAAAGTGAAGGCGTTGTGAAGCACATGGCAATGTGCATCTGTAGAAGGCGGACACTTTGCTCAGGCCCCTTCATCGATATCAGCTACTTGCGTATGTTGGCATCTATCTCAATGTGCCATAATGTGCCCAACATATCCCATGTTTCTCCTCAGCTCGAAAGCAAAACAGGAAAACCAGAAATACGATCTCGCGTAACTCCGAGTTTGCGAAGCTGACATCACACCAACTGCCGTGACTTGCTATGAGCTGTCGAATGTGAAGGTGCCCAGAAACTCGATGGAGGAGCTCTGCCTACTTCTCAGTCTGGGCACCTACGTCGTTGAATGTGAAACCGGCTGCGCAGCATCATCGTGCAGCCCTCCTTGATACAAGACCTCAGCGACGATTGCAGTTTGGGCACGACTGTCCCGGATAATCCAGATCTCTCTCGCTGCATCTGGGGCCAGGGCATGGATCGCACGAACATCTTTGTCATGGGCAGCGGAAGAAAAACTTTGCTGCCCAATGTCATGTGGATTGTTCTTCTCAACTCAGCTAAGTTTGCGCGGGCCTGCGTTGAGCTATCAAAACATGAAATCCGCTGAAGTAAGGACGCCTCATTCGACAGCTAGTGCGTGCTTTGTGTGTGTGTGTGTGTTCATACCCATAAAACCCCGTCGCTGGTAAGGACGGGACGTATGTAGTTCCAGCTTGCATTTCGTTTTGGTATCTTTTCGAGTTGATTCTCCCTGCCTTAACCATCGACCCAATGCTAGTATCACGAGCCTTAATATTAACGCACACAGCCTATCCCTATACCACTATACTATGCAGCCGCGGCGCTCTCTGGGCCCGCAACAAGAGCTGCCTTGGAGCCTGCCAGAAGCAGGTGTGACGCTGAGTGTGGTTGCTTGTTCAGGAAGGGTTCCTGTGACTCCTCTGAGACCTGTGACCCCCTTGAGGACCCCGGGATGTTTTAGCTTCGGACGTGTTGGTTCCGGTTGTGAGCGGTTGTCGTAAGGTTTTTAAGCCGGTTCAGGATTTTTGGCTTGGCGTCTCTCCGCTTGTGCCTTATATATCTTAATCCCACAACCGAGGAGGTTAAGGCTTTGGGGCGGGGCTTGTTTGGGTCTGGAGATTTTGGGCTCGGGGCTGTTTTAAACGCACTAGTTGATGGCTTGGAGTCTGGGGGCTTTGGGTTGGGTCCCAGAGCCAGGTATCCGAGACAAGGTGGCTTCTGCCCGGCGTGCATGGTGCGCGCTGTGCATAAACTGGAACGAGGCGCTTCGGAGGGCCTCTGCGTCCCGAGCCTTTGCGGTTTGTCATTCGGAGGGGCTCTGCTTCGGATGAGGCTCTGCGTCTCGAACATTGGCCAAAAACTCGAAAAAGCCTAAAACCGTGGCCTTCTCCGAGGGTGCGCTCGATGTTGTCGTGGCTTTCCCCGAGGGTGCGCTCGTCACAGGCCAGTGATTTCGCCAGGTGCCTCATCCTCGAGACTGTCGTCACGTTATTAGGCAGCGACGCCTCGCTGGAACTTCAAGCATGCAACAACAACATCATTTTTCCCCGAGCGCGTGCTCGATTTGTCACTCCGTCAACCAAAGTGAACGATTTCGTCCAGGTGCCTCATCCTCGAGACTGCTGTCACTTTTTACGCAACCATGCCTCGAACATGCCTCAAAAAAGCTCTAACAAGCATTGTTTTCCGTGCCTGATTTGTCACTCCCTCAACCAAAGTGAACGGCTTCGCCCAGGTGCCTCATCTTTGAGACTGTCGCTTGTTAAGCTTTCCCGAGGGTGTGCTCGAGGTTGTCAACTCTTAAAACGGGAACCCTACTGCTGCGCATCTCTGAACCATGTCGAGTCAAGCCGAGCGAGAATCATTTGATAAGGCCCGTGTCACCAGCGCGCGCGAGTGGCCAGGGCATCCATGCCCGCACGATGAGAACGTCCATGCTAAGCCAAATCCCGGAACCTCAACAACCGAAGCCCTGATGGCTCGAAATCCTGACCCCCCCAAAGTTTTGGGCCAACTCTTGTCTTGTTGTTGGTTTCTGGTCGGTGTGTGCGGTCTGCACAGGCTCAGCGTGTCCATGCTCGAACGAGGAGTCATTTCGCCCGCGTTGAGCCTGATTGGTACATTTTGTCTTTCGGGTGTGTTTGCCACAAACGCACGGAAAAGTCTAATGATGACAGAAATAGCCCAGGAGAAAACACATTTTAAGATAACATGTGCGCCAAAAGAAATCATCCAAAAGCATCCAAAGCCATGCCACGTCATGGCGCCAAAAACCCTTTAATTTTCTCAGGTGATTTGTGGACAGCTGGACGCTTGCTTGGAACATCTGTGCTCAAAACCCAAGCGATAGCGCTGTTTTCTAGAAACTAACCCCTCAAAACAGCAAAATCGCGTTGTTGCAAACAGGCCTGTCCCCTCTGGCCCGAACGTGGCGACAGTGTGGCGACCATTGCCTCATCTTGGCAATCACGGCAGTGATGGTTCGCAGGTGGTAAGTTCTGTTTTGGCAAACACGGTGGCGATGGTTCGCAGGTGCTTGTGGTAAGGTCTTTGTTTAATTGGCAACGCGCGGTGATGGTTCACAAGGTTTTTGTCTCAGCAAACGCGGCGGTGATGGTTCACAGATGTTCGCAGGGGCTTCTGGTGAGGTGTTTGTCTTGGCAAGCACTGCGCTGATGGTTCGCAGGTGCTTGTGGTAAGGTTTCTGTCTTGGCAAACGCGGCGGTGATGGCTCGCTAAAGTTAAGCCCTCCCCCCGCACTACACTCAGCACCAAAAACAAACCATTCCACTTCAATGTCTGACGCTCTCGTCACAGTGGCATGTACAGTGTAAGCCATGTCAGCTCCAGGGCGGTGGCATTTCAAGGTCAGGACAACGAGCCCCAAACCTTCTTCTCTTGGTCTCAAAGTTCTGACGTGCCATGTCGTGCCATTGTTTTCCGGGCTGCGAGAGTCCCAGTTTTTCAGTGGGGAAAAAAACTGCGTACTGCGTACCTGTGGGGGCTTCATATGCACACCCGTGTCTTGCCCTCAAAAAGGGCCGCCAGAAAACTACATGTATGTTAACCACTCTCCAACACTCCATGGCTTGCAAGCTGAAAAGGCGGACGTCGTGCAGAAAGACTCCGATGTCACAAGAGGAAGGGCCTCGTAGGCAAAGTCAAGAAAGTCGTTGTGTCCTGTCAGTTTGCCCCCAAGACACATGTGCGCAGACTGTGGAGAGAGAAACCCTACAAGCTCCAACCAAGAAAGGCCTCGGCATGCCAAGCGAAACTTGATCCCATCGCAGGTTTCGACTTTGGAGTAGGAATCACCTCCGTCAAAAAACCTTTTCCGTCCGGTTCTGCGTGAGCGCTCGAAAGATATGTTGTACTCCATCTGCTCTCCACAAAACCCCAAATCCTACCAAGCAAAACAGCACCTGCAAGCCCAGGACTCTCGGGCCGCATTTGTAGCAGCTTGGCACCTCGCAAGAGCAAGCGGCTGTCGGGGGGATGGCCTCCAACTCTTAGGAGCAAGACCGAGCAACAGCCTGCAAGCTGGTCGAAAGCCGCAGCACTCCCGAACAGTGGTCTGCCATGAAGAGTTATGTACCTGAGGAGGCCGACATGCACGAAGCACAGGACCCAAACGAGAACCAGGAGAAACATGATGAGATGCAGCCACGTGGCCCAGGTCTTGTATTAGGAGGATGGGACTCGGGTGCCCTGATCACCTCTCAGGCTTATAGACTTTCATGACTTTCATGATTTAGCTGTCAGGGATAACACACCATTGGCAGGTCCGCGCAAGCACCTCCTCTGGACACCCAGCCGCCAAGTAGCTCTGAACAGAGCTACCTCGATAAGGCAAGTGCCCTCCAACGAAGCTCCTCATATGACGTCAGGATCACCGAAGATGCCAGGACGCCTGGCAGCGTCTTTCAAAGATTCGAGTTGGCCTACTGTGAGCTCGTCGAAAAAGCCCATGAGGTACACTCCCCGCAGCCTAGACGAAGCCAACGCAAATATTCAATCGAGTGTGGGGCTGTGTAGAGCTGCACAAAAGCCTGATCCATCCCACAAGCCTTGCAATGCCCAAGATCTTCCAGCACTCTTTCCCACATCCACCAACCCGTAGTGGCCTTCAACGGCTGTACAGCCGTTGAAAGACTACAAAGCCCGCAAGCAAGACCAGGTAGACTGTGTGTATGCATACAAAAACATATACATATATATATACATGAGATTATTTATCTTCTAGACATGTATAGACTTGACTGTCTGGGATGCAACACAAATTTCCGGAGATCAGCTGATCGGCTGCCTCGGACAGCCTTGCGAAAAAGGGACGGTAAGCCAGGGCCAGAAAGCACCTTGAAGTGAGCTTTCGGAATCTTGGGCTCGAACAGGGCCGTCAGGGTCAACCTTTGCAAGCCACATGCCACTAGGGACATCATGATCAGAGGACAACAGACCCTTCTTGGAGCTTCTCATCGAAACATGCTCTGTCGGATGTCTGCCCATTCCAGAGGCACACACACACATTTGGAACCTGCCACCCGCCAAGGCCGCTTCGAACCCTTCTCGAGCCGGGGTCCCTTGGTTGGGAGGGGGGGGGGGGGGGCGGTTGGAAAATCTGGAGGAGGTTGGACGTCTGGAAACCCGAAGACCATGCACTGCTGTACCACATGACACCGCACGTGGAACAGGGCCAGACATGCCCGAATGGCATGCTTCACCCATGTCAAGCCCACAGACCTTCAGTCTGCTTCTGAAAATAGATCATATACCCTGATGGCATTGATTACCTCATTTGGCGGCTCATAAGGGTCCTTGTGGCAAGTTGCGTCTCGTCGCCGGCATCGCCCAGTAGGTGCTGGAGCGGTGGTAGCTGTTCCCTTTGCCTCCCTGTCGCGTTCAATGTTGTGCAGTGATGGTTGCAGATGCCTCTGTGGCCGTCACACTTGCGGTTGACGAAGTAGCGCCAACCCTAAACCCTAAACCCCAAACCCTAAACCCTAAACCCCTAACCCTAAACCCTAAACCCTAAACCCCTTGTGACGGTGATCGATGTGGGCACTTGAGCTTTCCGTTGTGCTGCTGGTAAGAGGTTGTGCTGACGCATGAGATTGTGTTCGGCAGTGATGCTTGTTGACGCGCGGAGACGCCTGTCAGCGCCTTTCAGGATTTCAACGCTTGCAGCGCGCTTCGGTAACTTTCGATGGCAACTTGACCTCGCGCATAAGGTCACCCGTTCACTCTTACGCCTTTGTGCATGCTTATTATGCTGCGAGGACTATCATCGGCTACTCTCAGATCAAACGTTCCCCCAGCACACTGTCTATACATGCAACGCGTGGCATGCGAGCAGCCTATTCGAATGCCATCTCTCTCGATGAGAAGCAATGCATATCGAGACGTATCATGCTATGCAGGCAAACATCAGCAAACAGAATGAGCACCCACATGTGCCTCGTCTTCGTTCAACAAACACCGCCGTGTTGACGGAAGACATGGGGCCGTTTCTGCGGCCAGGGATGTTGATGGCATCGCCACGGCTCATCTACGCTGTTTTGATTGTGTCTGTTTCTCGCCTGGCAAGCTACATGGTGAACAAGGTTGTGTATCACCACCACTCACTTACGACTCACTTCTTCCCTCACTTCTGGCACGTCTTGGGACAACAAGGCTTCGCTTAGACTCTCAGAGTGCCTCTGAGATGACTGGTACGCAGGTTACACGGACTGTGCACAGACATGCACAGCTTCGACTCAGTTGCCCAGCCAGCACTTTGGGGTCCACAGGCGCTGATGATGAAGAGTTGGGCACCTTAGGAGCTGGGGGCGAGATGCACAAAGCACAGGGCCCAAACGGGAACCAGGAGAAACATGATGAATTCCCCCCCCCGACGCAGCCACGTGGCCTAGGTCTTGTAGTAGGAGGATGGGACATACTCGTGCGCCGGGATCACCTCTCAGGCTTCTAGACTCCCATGACTCAGTTGTCCTGCACAACCAAACTCTGCCGCCCCTTTCAGCAGGCTAATGCACTACGTCGCTACGCGCATCTTTTGTTCCATTCCACAGGATGCCAAATGTACTTTGGAAATCGCGTCTGTAGGCTTCGCTTATGACATGTCTCTCCAAATGTACAGGCTCTTCTCACGTAACCGTTGTTACTAGCAAGAACTATGTACTGAGACTTGTGCTCAGCACCAAACAGGATGCAGGTCATGCGCGTCGATCGCGAATGGCGCTGCGGCAATTAAAGCTGTCAACCCAGGCAGAGTGCGACTCCTGGAAAAGGCGCTGGACATCCTGGCCCCTTCGGCTCTGCCCAGCATGCCCACCATGCCCAGCATGCCCACCATGCCCGCCATGCCCACCATGCCCGCCATGCCCGCCATGCCCACCTCTCCGCCAGGCTCGCAGCTTGGGATTGTGGGCTTTTTCCCAGCTCCGCACTTGGGACATTGAGGGCGCCAATGTTTTCAAGGCATCCTGCACATCCGCGTCCTGCAAGAAACTGGCGGCTGCCAACTTTTCGGCCTCCTCTTTACTATCGGCCTCCCCAAAGTACTGCTCGTCGTTGAAGCACGGCACCCTGAGGATTGCGAGGATTCGGCCATTTCCAAGTTCCCTGCAGGAGTAGTGGATGTCGTTCTGGGTCAAAGCTCTGTTGAGGTAGCGCTCCAAAAATTGGGAGACGGCTGTTTTGGGATGCTTCCCTTCAATCGACATGCCGACTGACGGAGGACATCCACGGTAGCTCTTTCGCGACCCCGGTTTGGGATTGCGCTTCTTCTTGCCAGCCTCATCAGGATTGTGCTTCCTCTTCTCGCCAGCCTCATCAGGCTCTTCTTTGGCGGCAACCTGAATGGTCGACCGGATGCATTGTGTCTCTTTCCCAATCAGTGGTGTGGGCTAGGTTCAGTCTCTCTGCGAGGGGGGTGCAGGGCGCAGAGTCGCAGTATAGGATGATGGTCATGGAAACCGGGCTTTAAAAACAGAAACACGTGGTGTTCACTTGCCCATGCAGGGGTTACCGGCCTCCGACGCAGACGGCCAGCAAGAGATTTCCTCTTTTGCCAAAAGAGGCTCCTTGCTGCGGGCCGAGTCTTCAGTGCTTGTACGGCACAAAGGCTAAGGATCTAAAGTTACAGTAAAGCACCGCAACGACGGGTTACACGGTTTGCCCCTAAGCCCTGAACCCTAAACCCTAAAGCCGCCAAAGGCGCCTTCAGTGCCGGCGCGGCATCGGCAGCCATGGCAAGGCAGGGACGGAGCCAAACACCAAAGTTGCAAGGCGGTACTTTGGCCGATTGCTGCAGATGCAACACGAACGCGAGCGAGCAAGTCTCCCTTGACGAGAGGCAGACAAAGGAGCCCAACAGACCCAATGACTACCGAGGCCCTCACAGAGCTTCAAAGAGCGCCTCCATGTCCAAGTCAATGCCACATTGCCCCTTGACTTCCAGAGACTTGCACAAGAGGCAAACTTGCACGACGAGATGCGCCAAAAACCGGGGGGGCCCTCGCGCATGCTCCGAGCCATTAGAGCTCCCAAGAAGGTGCTGCCAGGCCTCCGAGGGCCCTGCGATGAAGAGCCTCCGTGAAGCACCCATGGAGTACATGGCACCCAACTCACTGTAGAAATGCAGAAACCATTCCCTTTTTTTTGCTTGGTGCCTTGAAGTGCTTCCCGAAAAATGCCCAGCACCTCGCGAGCTTCCCAAGAAACTCGGGACTAGACGTGAGGACACTGAGTAGGCTCAATCGCTTCTGTCGTTTTACTGCTCTGGTGCGGGCGGAGGCGGATCTTCTGGGCCCCGTGCGGTGGCGGCGCCTTGCCTGGTCCTTGCAAGAAGTTTGGCTTCGCGCAACAGAAGAGAGGACCGGCAAGGATGGGAAAAAGTGACTGCACTGCTGAGAAGAAGCAGGCTTTAAGGAGAGGATCATGCACAACAAGCACAGCTCACCGCCGTTTGTTTCCTGTGCGTATACCTCCAGTACCATCGGGTGTCTCACACGGCGTTCTTAGGAGGGAAGCAGCGGTCGCTGCTCCTCACGCTCCTCTTGCAAAGCCTCGCGCTCCCTGCTGTAGAGGACCCCGCCCAGGATGGCGATGCTGGCGCCCGCCACCTGCAAGAGGCTCAGTGCTTTCGCGTGCAGGCCGAAGGCTTCGATGCAGATGATCACGAACTTGTTGGCGTTGACCATGACGAGGAAGCTGGTGGCGCTGATCAGGCTCTGGGCCCAGATGCCCGTGTAGGAGATGGAGAGGCCGATGACGCAGGTGAGGCCAATGTAGACCTTGTCCGTGAAGGTCAAGACCGCGTACTTGAGCGGAAGCTCCGAAAGCTCTCCCTTCACGCAGAGCGCGATGCCGACCGGTATCAGGCTCACGCTGTTGTTGATGAGGGTGATGCCTGCCTTGGAGATGTCCACGGGCTGCTGATCCTTGGAGAGGAGCAGGCGCTGGAGCAAGCGGTCTGCCACAGCCGCCGCACAGTTCAGCAAGGCCCAGCCCACACCGTTCAGGTGCTCCCGGGGGAGGTGTGACACGTACATGCCCGCGCCAAAGACCATGACCAGGATGCTGAAGAGCATCAGGCCGCTGATCCTCAACGGGTCGGGGTAGAAACGCTCGACGGCCAACGCGAAGAGGGGCGAGATGTTTCTCAGAACGATGATGAGGGACATGGGCGCGCTTCTCAGTGCCAGGATGGACGTCATCAGCATGCTGCAATAGAATGGGACCACCAGGAGCACCCATCGCAACAAGTCCCTGAAGCTGCCGATGTGGATCGACGGCCATGCGAAACAAAGCAGCACGACCGTGGCAAAAGCCAGCTGCAGCCACACGAGGCTGCACTCCAAGGGAAAAGCCTCGATCGCCAGCTTGTTGTACAACAGCATCCCCACCGAGGAGAAGCAGTTGCATGCACAGGCAACCACGGTCTCCATCCGGGCGGTACCGGCCCCGACATCGGACCGGGCCTTCATCTGAAAATATGCAACGCGCCTAAGGGCTGCAAAGTATCCTGACTGAAACTTGGTAGAACTTTGAGAGGCAAAAACAGGCGGCGCGCGGCTAAAGCTGCCCCATGCACCCTACCAGCACAGCATGGGTGCAGACACTGCCGATGGCGCTGTGCAAAAATCATTCCAACCCCAAACTTGGCCCCAAACCCTAAACATGAGGTTGGGCATCATCGAGCCGACTGCTTTGGGGAGTCACCCGGAGCGCATCATGAGCATCAGCCTGACTAGTTGCCGGCGAACGGTCCGGGGCTTGAGAAACGGCCTTAGTCCTAAACCCACGTCTCGTGATGTCTCGGCGTTGCAAGTGCACAGCTACTGGCACGGGCGCCGTTGTTTGTTGTTCCGTTTGTTTGTTTGCTTGTGAAAAATCCATACGTCCTTATGTCTTATCCACACTTCCTTATGTCTTTCTCCCCGAACTTGAAAGCTTGCCAACTGACGTTGGCTCAAGACTCGCTGCATGGCAGGAAAAAGAAACTTTGCAGCTTAGGCCAAGCCTACTTGTGTTGTTGAACTCAGTGCCCTCAGTGCCCTCATCTCATGGAGGAGCAGACCCAAACCTCTTGAAAAGTGTAGCAAGGGGACCAGAAAGGAGCAAGGGAAAGCACTACTCGATGTCAGGAAAGGCAACATACAGAGTACAGAGGGACCCCAATGCACAGTGAGGCCGAAGAAACCCCCCAACCGGCGAAGGCGCTTGCCGAAGCAGAGCCGGAGGACTGTGGTGGGAGGCCATCGGAAACGTGGCAGGCGCAAAAGCTGCCCCCCCAAGCTCCGCACCGCTGGGACGGAGCGGCAAAACTTTAACGACCACTAAAAGTCCACAAAGAACATGGAGCTGGTAGGACACCCCCCCTGCCAGGGCCTCTGGAGAAGTGTAGGGCCGGAAAGGAACGAGGGAAGGCAGTTCCGAATGTCCACCCTTACAGCGGGCTGACCCCACAGTACACAGGCCAGGATACAGCAACCATCACTGACGAGGACCACCGGAAGCCGGGGCACAGCGGCGACCCCAAGGAAGGCACCAAGCCAGGAAGCAGAAACTCCAAGGCTCTGAGCCGAGACATGGAGCGGCATCTTTGGCCGAAGTGAGGCTTGGCCATCAAGGGAAAGTGCCAACCTCGCACGTGCAACCCACCCGGAAAAGGACGACGAGAGAGAGAGAGGGAGAAGAAAAAGGAGAAAGAGAGAGAGAGAGAGAAGAAAAACATGAAATGAATCAATATACATATGTACATATATGTATATATATATATATGTATATGTGTATTATATATATATATATACATATATACACATATACATATATACATATTTACATGTTTACATATTTACATATTTACATATTTACATATATACATATATACATATGTACATATATACATATATACATAAATACATATGTACATATATACATATATACATATATACATATATACATATATACATATATACATATATACATATATACATATATACATATATACATATATACATATATACGTTTTTGCATATAGACATATATACATATATACATATATACATATATACATATATACATATTTACATATAAACACATATACACGTATACATGTATACACATATACATACATATAGACATATATACATATATACATATTACATATATACATATATTACATATACATACATATATACATATATACATATATACCATATATACTATATACATATATACATATATACATAATAATATATACATATTTACATATATACATATATACATATACATATAACATATATACATATATACATATATACATATATATATACATATATACATACATACATACATACATATACATATATACATATATACTATATACAATATACATATATACATATATACATATATACATATATATATACATATATACATATATACATATACATACATATGTACATATGTATATGTACATATGTACATATATACATACATACATACATACATACATACATACATACATATACACATATATACATATATACATATATACATATATACATATATACATATATACATATATACATACATACATACATACATATATACATATATACATATATACATATATACATATTGTGAGCTGACATGAGTGCATATGCATCTTCTGCTCTGTGATGCATTAGGACTCGGCAGACCACCTTGTAGTTTTCCTTTGCATGTAGAGTTTTGCAATTCGTATCAATGCCAATATTTTGGCTCAAGTACCGAGCTTGTGCCTTTGAGCACGGTAGAGTCGTACAGTAGCTCTTAGGTTGCTGTGCGGTCCGACCGGTGGCCGGGCTGTGATTGCATTGGCTTAGTGCAAGTCCAGTGCTGGTCGACTTCACAATTGGGGGCTGTTCTGGGAAGCGTACAGCTCTTGTGCCTACGGCCCGAGTGGGCAAGCATTGCTTTGCTTGTCTGTCGCACGCTTGCGGCCTGTTAACCAAGGCGCGGCGCTTCGCGTGCCACGCCTGCGGCCTGCTAACCAAGGCGCGGCTTTTCGCCCTGTGTTGCGGCGATGTCCGCAGAGGTTGCAGGTCAGGCCGAGGGCGTCACCCTCCTCGAAGCTATCGAGGGTGGAGACGTTCCCTATCCCGAGCGGATGAGCTACGTCGCTTGGCTTAAGTGGCGTAGGGAGACTGGCAGCCGTCCATTGTCCAAGCGGGATGGGATCAGTACTACGCCAGAGCAAGAGGCGGCTCTCTGGCGGAAAGTCATGAAGTTCCTCCATGACGCCGAAGACGAGGACGAGGATGAGGAGGAAGAAGAAGAGGACTCCGAGCTAGTCCCTGAGGCCTCGGGCGCTGGAGGCGACAGTCCGCCGCGGGTGGACGTCAGCGCCGCGGCTAGGGAGCTGGCCATGGTCCCTACCGGTGCTGCCTATGTCCCTGCTGCGGCACCAGGGTCCCGCCCGGCGGGACCGTCCGGTCCGCCGTCGACAGCAGGTTCAGTGCCAGGCACCGCAGAGGGCTTGCAGGCGGAGCTGCGCGCGATTTTCCGTCCAGACCAAGAACCGGTCGCGGACTACTTGACGCGCGTTTCGCGGATAGTCCTCGCGCTGAAAGCGCATGGAGTCACGGTGAGCTCCCGTGACCTTGACGCCTTAAGCACCAAAGCCACCCTCCTCGCGGATGAGTTCTCCAAGATAGGCGGGGACTGGCATCCGACAAAGATGGTCCGTCGGCTGCGGACCAG